GTATGGGGGTTCTGAGCGAACAAGGATAAAACACTAACACTCATGAAACTGCACTTAGACAAAAGCTACTTGAGTTACCTCTACTATTGCCAATAAACCCTAGCTATCATATCCTAACTCTTCTCTCTCCTCCCCCACAAGAGGAAACAACACACAAAAAAAGAAAACTGCCCCCGCACACCAGTGACGCACTCCACTAAAACCCACGAGCACCCGCAGCCACAAGCCTCCGCAGCCACCAGCCTGCCGAGCCAGCCCTAACCTTAATTCAAAACTTAATCCTAAATCTGAGTCTAACCCTAAATCCTCTCCACTGAGCCGTCAGCCGCCACACTTGTACATTCCACATTCATGACCACACCGACTTCCGCCGTCGGAAATCTTTTCCCGCGCACCGCCGAAGGCATCCTACCGCCGAAGGCCCTCGCGCTGAAGGCAACTTACCGCCGAAGACACTCTTCCGCACCTTTGACCATCTATAACAATCACTTCCGACACTCATAACTCAGCGATACCTTATCCGTTTCAAGAGTTCTTGGGCTCGTTAGAACGAGCCCAAGTTGAGTTCTTTCCAACAAAACCCTCACTAAGTCAAGACATTACGAATTGAAAAAGTTATGACGGTTTTACACTTCCGCCGAAGGCCTTGCCCCGAAGGCCCCTTTCGCCGAAGTCCCTTCCGTCGAAGGCCTACTATCGCCAAAGGCCTTGCCCCGAAGGCCATTCGCCGAAGTCCTTTCACCTAACCATATCAGCCTCTTTAGACACTCATAACTCAGTGATACCTTATCCGTTTTAAGAGTTCTTGGGCTCGTAAGAAAGAGCGTGTCAAGTTCTTTTCAACAAGACCCTAACGAAGTCAAGACATTACGAATTGAAAAATTTATGACGGTTTTACTATTCCGCCAAAGGCTCTTCCGCCAAAAACCTGCTACCACCGACGGCATGCTACCGCCGAAGGCCTTGCCCCGAAGACCATTAAGTAGCCGTCTTAACGTATAAAGTAACTAACATCTGACTAACACTATCTAATTATTTTTTATTTTTTTCTCTTTGATTGTTCTAAGATCTTCTACTTTTCTATTCTAGTTCAAAGTCAAAAGGTGAGCACATCATTGAGCTCACAACTGGTATGACCGCGACTTCTTCAGTTTCAGAGGCGTCGCGTCGTCAAGCTTTGGGTCAGGGCTATGGACCTGAACTGCTTGACATGGATTGTGAGCTTGGGCTTGGCCGAGCAACGCCGTTTGCGCGTTGATTTGGTGGTTGTTACATCACTTGTTAGCTCATTGCCTACCGGGACGGTAGTGGCAATGGCTGGGGGCGACATGCGAGATATTCGTCATCCTTGGAGTTCATGGGACGTGACGAGAGGACTTGCTAGAGTGGCCGCCAATGCAACTGGAGATGTTGATCAAGTGGAGGTTGCTACGAAGTAGGGTACAGAGAGCCCTTCTGTGGAGGATGTGGCATAGCAACCAGTGACAGTTTCGTCTCCCTCTTGTGTGTCCATGGAGGAGAAGTGGGAGCCATCGATTGGTTCTCAGATCACCGGAGGAGAGAGGGGACAGTTGACACAATTCCTACGTGACTATAGGAGTTGTTTTGCTTTCAGTATGAAGGAGCTGGGTATTTTGATTGGAACTGGCATACGGATAGAGTTGGCTAGTGATACGCCAATCTTCCGTTGTCCCTATCGATATAGTGATATGGAAAGAGATTTGATTCGGAGTCGGACGTTGGAGTTATTGGAGGCTAGGTTAGTGGACTTGTCGCATGGTGAGTATGCTTCAGCCACTGTTATGCCGGCGAAGAAGAATGTACATGGCAACTACACATATGCGCATGTGTGGAGACTACCGTCCCATCAATCGGTAGACGAAGGCCAATAAGTATGTCATGCCTACACCTAAGGAGATCTTCGATGTGGTGGGACATGCGAGGATTAGTACTTTGGATCTTCGGGGAAGATACCATCAGTTGCCGATTCGGGAGGAGGACAAGGCCAAGACAGCATTTTGGAATGTCAACTCCCACGGCAAGGATTGTTTGTATTAGTGGCGATTCTTACCCTTTGGGTTGAAGAATGCACCTGGTGAGTTCCAGAGAGTGATGGACAGGATTCTAGCGGGGTTGGATTTTGTCACATGTTACATTGATGATATCTTGGTGTTTAGCGACACGGTGAAGCAACACCGGACACATTTGCAGATTGTGCTTGAGCGGTTGAGGGCTCATGGTTTGCGGTTACATCCTGGGAAGTGTAGGTTCTTCTATGAGAAGGTGGAGTACTTGGGTCATGTGATTTACCCAGGTGGTTTGGGAGTTCAGCAAGCAAAGGTGGATGCTATAGCGCGCATTCTTCGTCCAGCAGATGTGAGTAGAGTTCGTGCATTCATGGATTTGGCGAACTATTACTGGAGGTATATGAAGGAATTCAGTGCTATAGCGAAGCCTTTGAACCAGTTGCTGAAGTCGGATCAGGAATGGCAGTGGGAAGATGAGCAGGAGAGAGCTTTTGTTGAGCTCACGGCCAGGTTGGTGGCCGCTCCCATCTTGAGGAGACCTATCAGAGGTCGTCCATACCAGTTGCACACTGATTGGAGTATGTTGGGACTTGGAGCGGTGTTGACGCAGTGTGACGATGAGGGCAAGGAGTTTGTGGTTGCGTATGCTAGTCGTTCGAACAATGCAGCAGAGTCGCGGTATAGTTCGTACGACGGAAAGTGTTTGGCAGCGGTGTGGGATGTGGCACACTTTCGGTGTTACTTGTTTGGTACGCATTTCACCCTTGTTACTGATCATCAGCCTCTCAAGTGGTTGATGGAGTCCGACAAGCTCACAGGGAAGCTTGCATAGTGGGCTCCCATCTTACAGGAGTACGACTTTCAGGTGGTGCATAGGCCTGGAGTTGCAAACCTGGATGCCGACGGTTTGAGTCGAAACCCATGCACAAGCTAGGAGGATGACATTGGAGCTAGATGGCATGGTGAGGTTGATGAGGAGATGGTGCCCGGTTGGCATGCATCTGCCTTCATGTGTTGGTTACATGGAGCCTCTAGCAGTGAGTACCACTTGACATTTTACTCTTGTCAGAGAGTAGATAGTTAGTATTCGGATCTTGAGGTTGAGGATGGTGATGTGAATCAGCGTGATGTTTACGATGATGCGTTGGTGTTGGAGTTCCTACGGACCTGTATGGTGCTAGGCACAAAGGGTGCCAAGGAGCGAGATCGTGTTCTCCAGCGGGCGAAGAGATACCGATTGGAGGGATCACATGTTCTCCGAGTGTGGGAAGACGGTAGGGTACGAATAGTACCCCATCCATCTTAGAAAGCACGCATTGTGAGGCATGCTCATGAAGAGTTGGGACATTTTGGAGTGAAGCGTACGTACAACTTACTCCTTGGTCAGTATTGGTGGACTGATATGCATACGCAGGTACAGTAGTTGGTATCACGTTGCATGGTTTGTGATCGGGTGAGAGCATCGTTCAATACCCCGACACGAGAGTTACATCCCTTACCTATCATGGGGTTGGGTTACCATTGGAGTTTAGATTTTGCTGGATCACTACTTTTGACTGCACGACATCATCAGAATGTGTTGGTGATGGTGGAGCATTTCTCCAAGTGGATTGAGTTGGTGGCATTACCTAACAAGGCGAGTGAGGGAGTAGCATATGCTTTTCTTGACAGGGTGCTTAGTCACTTTGGTGCACTAGCTTAGGTGTTGACCGATCAGGGGACAAAGTTTCAAGGTGAGTTTCAAGTCTTGTGTGACAAGAAGCTGATTGATCACCGGACTACTTCCCGAGATCATCCACAGGTGGATGGGTTGGCTGAGCGGATGGTACAGACGGTGAAGAGAGCGTTGCGCAAGTATGGCCTACAGAAGGGGCATCTTGGGGACAGGGATATTTAGTTACCATGGCTGGCCATGGTATATCGATTCAGTCGTGAAGCATCCTTGGCTTCGTTTTCACCATATTTTCTATTGTACGGCCAAGATCTAGACTTGCCTACAGCAATTCATCGTGAGTCTAGCGAGGTGGTGAACCTTGATGATCGAGATATGTGGGTGAGAGTGTGTTCTCAACGTGCAGTGCTCTTTCGGATAGTTATGACTGCAGCGTTTGAGAACCTTGCGATTGCTCAACATAGGGATACGTTGCGGTATGCAACAATCCGGGGAGGAGGTTATCGACCATCGATTCGTAGGTTCTGTGTGAGAGATTACGTCTATTTACAGCAGATTGCACCGACTACTTTGGATGTGACAACAGGTTTACCTTCTGGAGTTCTCATGTTGGATTGTCGGGACGGTGTCGTTTGGAAGGCTCATGGCGCACAGTTGCGCCATGCCACCTCCCAAACGTGGATGGTACTATGGACCCAAGCTTGGCGATTGTACGTGCCGGCTTGAGGTGCATGTTATGTGACTCAACTGATCAGACGACCCATATGTTGGTGTGTGATAGGTGTTCTAGAGTATGGCACATGTCGTGCTTGACTCCTCCTATCGATGTTGTTCCTATTGGACGATGGGTTTGTCCTCGATATACTTTAGAGTGTAGATGATTTGATCTTCACATGTTACGAATTGCAGATAGGCGACATAGCACCCGGCCTACTGGTTCGCGCACCTACGAAAGTGCATAGCATGTAGTTGTAGATAGGGCTACCTGGGAGTTAGAGAGACTTGACCGCCAGCTAGGGGGGCGAGTTGTGATAACTTTGTATGTGGACACTCTCGTTCCTTGTGTATATGTGTGAATTGTGAATAGAGCATGTCAACGATGTATGATGTATGGGGATACCGAGTCGCACGACCCCGTAGAAAATTGCAGTATAGATAACTAGTGATTGGGTCAATTTTTTTGACCCGGTCACATTACATGGACATGTTTGTTTGAAACGATGTGACATGAGTTACATAATCATATGTAGAAAATGATATATCTCTTGATGAAATGGTAATGCTCGCCCATAACAACGATAGGTGACTCGAAAAATGATTTGGACAGTGATATAGAAATTAATTACATTTTTAATAAATTAGTTATGCTCGGCTGCAACTCCGGACGGAAAGCTCGCCATAAGTATAGCTGGGCCCGGATTCCCAGGGCCAGCGGAAAAACTCTTATTAGAGGCAACAGTAGGTCCGGACTGTGAAATCCCGGAAGTAACCGAACATGGATCCTACTACTAGACCTGATTGTACAGCGCTTGCATTGAAGCTGGGCAAAACGCCAAGTCCCTGAACCGTTTTCGTATTGGTTGATGATTGCTGGTAGCTGGAGATATTGCTGCCAGCTGATACCGTCTGTGACAGTGAGGGATAGATCGTTGCAGGCCCCATGCAAATGGCTTGGGCACTGACAGAAGTGTAACTGGGGAAAGTTCCTCCCATAAGACTTGATTTGGGAGCTCCCGGGGAGAAGCTTGTCATTGAGCCCGAGCTGATCCCAGGCTGCCCGACTCCAGCAGGACTAGTCGGCACTGAGCTTGCACCGCCTCCTAAGCCTTGTTGTGCACCTGCTGGAGAGTGCCCTCATTGAGTGACTACAGCACCAGAACTCAACTTTGAAGGGCCAGGCGAAAATTTGACCGGGCTCCCCGTGCTCATAGCTCCTTGTGCTATGCCAGATGGTTTGTTGAACATTGTTCTTCCTGAAGGAACAGATTGGGCTTGGACACCTCCCGACATCGGACTAGATGACGTTGGGGCATGGACGGATTGGCCACTCACGGATGTAGGTACATTGGAGGAGCCAGGTTGATGTCCAGGGCTCGAAGAAGTTGGCAAACTCAGGGATCCTGAACCTGGTTGAGCACCACTCAGCACCTGCTGTTACACTGCGGACGAAAATGCGGGCATCGTTCCGGGACTAGTCACGACCCCTCCGTTTGAGGCACTGGAAACAGCACCGGCGTTCGCAGTATGCGAAACAGTTGACTGCTTGGGAGGTGACTTAGCCACGCTCGAAACAGATGCAGAACCAGATGGGGTTTTAGAAGACGAAATGAACGGTCTTCCTAAAGCGCCAGAAGAGTATACTTGTCCCGTTTTACCAGACGGAGGCCTGTCAACACCAGCTTGACTCGTCACTTTCAGAGGCACAGCAGATGAGTTCCCGGGAGATGTACAGGAAGCAGCAGCAGAACTAGATCTGTGAGAAGGTGCACCAGGTGAAACAACCAACCCAGCAGGTGCTTCATCAGTGGTCATCACGTTTGCAATACTTTTCGCTGCATGCTGCTTCTTCACTTGCAATGGTGCCTCTTGCTCTCCAACCCAACCAGGTCCGAAGGGAACACCCCGCGCAAGAACTTTTTGCAACTCACGTGCGACATAGCTCCAAGCCTTCGGCCCGAGAATTGCTCCTAATTGTGCTAGACTTTCCGCATACGAGTTTCAGACCTGAGCACCAACCTGGAAAGCGGCATAGACCAAAATAAGTACCATGCTGGTTGTAACAAGAGTACATAGATCAACCATGCCAAATACTGAACCTCTTGTGAGATGGTGACGACTAAGTCATAGAATGTCAGTGGTGAGGAGCAGAAGGCGGATCTACAGGGAATTTCACCACAGTTGCAATGACCGCTCAGCTTACGGGTTTTCACTCCACTTCACCGAGCAGCAACAACATAGCATTATAGCAGTTGCGTGATAGTAAACGGACGAAACGGCCAATCACAAGCCTCGGCACTAAAAATGGAAACCAGTTCCATAGATGGACATAGAAATCACCACCAGACAAAGCAAATTCGATCAACAAAGTTTCCAGAATTTTCAAATTCCTTCTACATCAGTCACAGCACTTACAAGAAACTTCATGACACACAGTCAGATTCAGCACCCTGGTTGTTTCCACCCAATCAGAATTGTTTCATTCGGCAAAAAGCCAATCAACTCCCTCTCGACGAAGGGGCACGAGGCACCAGCTTCGTGTCCCCTCGTCGAGGAGGAGTGATTGCTGAAATAACATATCTTGCAAATCCCTTATATACACCAAACTTGCATTGACCGCTTAGCTTATGGGTTTTTTCTCCACTTCAACGAGCTGCAACGCCCAAGTCACTTTCCTGAACCAGCATTATAGCACTTGCATGACAGTTCATGGACGAAACGACCAATCACGAGCCTCGGCACTAAAAATGAAAACCAGTTCCATAGATGCACATAGAAATCACCACAAGCCGAAGCAAATTAAATCAACAAAGTTTCCAGAATTTTCCAATTCCATCTACATCAGTCACAGCACTTGCAAGAAACTCCATGACACACAGTCAGATTCAGCACACTGCTTGTTTCCGCAGAATCAGAATTGTTTCATTCGGCAAAAAACAATCACACCATCAGTTACGGAGGGGCACGAAGCACCAGCTTCGTGTCCCCTCGTAACGGAGGGGGGATTCTTGAAATAACATGTCTTGCAAATCCCTTATATACACCAAAGTTGCATTGACCGCTGAGCTTATGGATTTTCTCTCCACTTCAACCAGCAGCAACCACATAGTCACTTTCCTCAACCAACGATATAGCAGTTGCATGATAATTCATGGCCGAAACGACCAATCACAAGCCAACACATTAACAATGGAAACCAGTTCAAAAGATGTACATAGAAATCAACACCAAGCAAATTATACAACAAAGTTGCCACATTTTTTCAAATCCTTCTACATCCATCACAGCACTTGCAAGAAACTTCATGACACACAGTAAGATTCAGCACCCTGCTTATTTCGGCCGAATCAGAATTGTTTCATTCGGCAAAAGCCAATCAACTCCCTATCGACGAAGGGGCACGAGGCACCAGCTTCATGTCCCCTCGTCGAGGAGGAGTAATTGCTGAAATAACATGTGTTGCAAATCCCTTATATACACCAAAGTTGCATTGACCGCTGAGCTTATGGGTTATCTCTCCACTTCAACGAGCAGCAACGACATAGTCACTTTCCTGAACCAACATTATAGGAGTTGCATGATAATTCATTGACGAAACGACCAATCAAAAGCCTCCACACTAACAATGGACCCCACTTCCATAGATGGACATAGAAATCACCACAAGCCAAAGCAAATTCAATCAACAAAGTTTCCAGAATTTTCCAATTCCTTTTACATCAGTCACAGCACTTGCAAGAACCTTCATGACACACAGTAAGATTCAGCACCCTGGTTGTTTCCGCCCAATCAAAATTCTTTCATTCGGCAAAAGCCAATCAACTCCCTCTCGACGAGGGGACACGAAGCTGGTGCTTCGTGCCCCCTCGTCGACGAGTGATTGCTGAAATAGCATGTCTTGCAAATCCCTTATATACACCAAAGTTGCATTGACCGCTGAGCTTATGGGTTTTCTCTCCACTTCAACGAGCAGCAACGACATGGTCACTTTCCTGAACCAACATTCTAGGAGTTGCATGATAATTCATTGACGAAACGACCAATCACAAGCCTTCACACTAACAATGGAAACCAGTTCCATAGATGGACATAGAAATCACCAGAAGCCAAAGCAAATTAAATCAACAAAGTTTCCAAATTTTTCCATTCCTTCTACATCCGTCACAGCACTTGCAAGTAACTTCATGACACACAGTAAGATTCAGCACCCTGGTTGTTTCGCCCAATCAAAATTCTTTCATGCGGCATTTGCCAATCAACTCCCTCTCGACTCCCTCTCGAGGGAGGGGCACTTGCAAGTAACTTCATGACACACAGTAAGATTCAGCACCCTGGTTGTTTCGCCCAATCAAAATTCTTTCATGCGGCATTTGCCAATCAACTCCCTCTCGACTCCCTCTCGAGGGAGGGGCACGAGGCACCAGCTTCGTGTCCCCTCGTCGAGGAGGAGTGATTGCTGAAATAACATGTCTTGCAAATCCCTTATATACACCAAAGTTGCATTGACCGCTGAGCTTATGGGTTTTCTCTCCACTTCAACCAGCATCAACGACATAGTAACTCTCCTGAACCAACATTATAGCAGTTGCATGATAATTCATTGACGAAACGACCAATCACAAGCCTCCACACTAACAATGGAGACCAGTTCCATAGATGGACATAGAAACCACCACAAGCCAAAGCAAATTCAATCAACAAAGTTTCCAGAATTTTCCAATTCCTTCTACATCAATCACAGCACTTGCAAGAAACTTCATGACACACAGTAAGATTCAGCACCCTGCTTGTTTTCGCCGACTCAAAATTGTTTGATTCGGTAAAAGGCAACCACCCCTCCTCTACAAACGCTGATGATAGCTTCTGCCTATAGCTGATGAAATACCTTTCGTTGCAAATCTTTTATACGCACCAAACATGCATTGACTGCTAAACTTATGGGGTTCTTCTCCATTTGAATGTCCCAGTGCCGAAATAGTTCATTCAAAGCATGACGCGTATTTAAAATGACGTGATTCACCTCAACTACTCCACTCCCCCGGCAAATTACCTTAGGCCAAAACCTAAAAATACAAACCATCTGGGTTCATATTGTGTTCTATTTGAAAGCGACAGCGACGAAAAAGTCCTGAGAATGCATGACCCATATTTCGCGATAAGGACGAAAACTAGTCAGTCTGACAGTCACTAGTGTCAGAACTGACGGTGGCAATCCGTTAGAGAGAAGACAACCCTCGGGGCGTCCTCTAAGTACCTTGGATGAAACCCTATTCATCAGAGAAAATCACTTTGACAAGTCTACAGTATGAAGCAACGTCATAGAAGTTGCAATATAGTCGATAACCGAAAACGAAAACAACCCTCGGCGCTGACAGTGGCAATCAGTTCCACAGGAGACAGCCCCCAGGTGTCCTCTAGATAACTTGGAGGTAACACACTTGCTCAGATGAAGTGAATTGGACGACATTATGAACGGAAGTCATAGCTATTGCGAAGGTGGGGAAACTGATTGGCAAGACCACTTTCAGGCCTCCTCTACACAACTTGAAGGTAACACTCTTGCTCACATTTTCATGTGAGCAAGAGTTTTCACATTTTCACTTCAACAAGTCGTCATTAGGAACCAAAATCATAGCGGTTGCAAGAAACTTTATGGTAAGATAACTGTTCTCTAAATCACTTGGAGTTAACACTCTTGCTCACATGAAATCAATTAAACAAGTCGGATAGGAACCAAAATCATAGCGGTTGCAAGATACTTCATGGTAAGATAGCTGTTCTCTAAATCACTTGGAGATAACACTCTTGCTCACATGAAATCAATTAAACAAGTCGGATAGGAAACAAAATCCAAGCGGTTGCAAGACACTCGACGACACACGGTAAGACAACACTCTTGCTCACATGAAATCAATTAAGCAAGTCGGATAGGAAACAAAATCAAAGCAGTTGCAAGACACTTTATGACACACGGTAAGACAACCACCTCTCCCTCAACGACTGCTTCGTGATCCGTCGTTGAAGGAAAGGATGGCTGATGAAATACCTTCTATTGCAAATCCCTTATATGCACCAAACATGCATTAACCGCTAAGCTTATAGGGTTTTTCTCCATTTGAAAGAGACAGCAACAAAACAGTCACTTAATGAGCCAACAATATAGAAGATGCAAGACAATTGATGGACGAAACCGAACAATCACGAGTCTCGGCGCTGACAGCGTCAACCAGTTCGATACAAGAAAGCCCTCGAGGCTCGAGGCGTCCTCTAAATAACTTGGAAGTAAGCCACTTCCTCAGATGAAATCACTCGAAGAAGTCGATACTAGTTATGAGCAACCGACATCAACGTGTACATACTATATTCATCAAAATCAAGAGGCGCTTTATGAACCGCGTGGACCAACCTCAAAAGACTCCATGGTCGAGTAAGCATTCTTGTTAATTTTCTTCCTCATTGTTCCAAAATCCATCGGATCTTTGATAAAGTCATAATAATCCGGAACCTGAAAGAACCAGCAGCAAAAAAATGGTCAGGACTGAAAGAGGGTGCGACCGACTCTGCTGTCCGGACCTCCACAAAGTCAACCAAATTACGATTGAGACTGTAGATCATATGATATGAGTTTCCCAAAAGACGAAAAAACGTAAAAACGTGCATTCAGAAGAAGCTACTGCACCCGTGACTTCGTTTCTAAAACATCAGATTGCGGATTACCTGAGCCGCATCCACAGGTTCTGCGAAAACTCCATAGGTGTCTTTCCTGGGGGCAGAGAGAACACAACCAGAAATCAGCTTGAGCATGCAGCACATCATGCACATCGTACTTACGAGAGAAGACAAAGACAACAACCAACACTACGGACACATGGTCTTCCCGTCTCCATTATATGCTCCATGCATGTGTGAAATTTAAAGAGAAGCATTAAAAAGCTCCACGCAGTGCAAGCGGCAAGCATACAGAAGTGAAATGATGTGACCTGATAATAGTTATCACTTGTCAAAATCCTACACAGACAACATCCGCATTCAAATGTGATAGCCAGGGAAATACGTTTGCAGCTTGTCAAGGACACCTTCTAGCAGGGGTTTGGAGATCGGTTGCAGCGGTAGCTGCGTCTGTTGTGGTGGGCCTGCGCAACCGTTCGTAACCAGTAAACTCGATCAGCGTTAACTACTCATCAAAATTTTAGAACAGCAGAGTACAAGTAGGAGCCCACTCACTGAAACTCAAGTCGAGCTAACAAAGAGAGCTGGCATGTCATCCTACCTTGAGAGACACTAGGCCCGACCCCAGGCGCAGGCACTTCAGGTTTAGATTCCGGCTTGACCTGTTTCTGCAACAAAGAAACAATGACACCAGGAATGACTAACAGTACACATTATATCCACTGACGACCAGTACAATTACAACTACGGCGATGGTTCCACACCAGCAGGAAGAAAAGGCTGTGACAGAGAGTAGTCTGAAGGCCAAAATTTATCTTTCGTACCAGAGCCCTTAATATAGAAAAAGCGGTATCGAGCGGAGATAACTTAGGCCTTCGTGTAGGAGCGCGGAAGCTTCTCAGGCGCTTACAGGTAAGAGTAGGAGCATGGGTTTTCGACATTTCGGTGTGGGAAAATTTGCTTTTGGTGTGGTGGATGATTCTTCTTCACTGGTGTACACAGGGGATAAAACATGACATCGGCAGACAGATATTTTAGGCATATTTTAGAGAATTCAGGCACCATCACTCGCTTTACGTTTCTCGTTGTCCTTCCGAGATGTCGGGATTGTGTATCCTGGACTTGTCTCGGTTCTCTGGTAGGATAAAGGGAGAGAAGTAGAACACAGGCCGCATGGCGCAGGTAGGGTTTCGTGCAGCTAACCTACAGGTACAGCAAAATTCCTTACAGCAGTCACATTCCGACACTCACTTCCAACATTTTATTCATGGAACATGGCGACCTAGCAATCAACCGTCCGTCACGCCTGTCGCGTGTAGAGAATGGGTACAACTTCAGGGACAGCGACCTTCACAGGCTAGGAGAAACGGTGTGGTCCAACAAGTCACATCATGCAAGCAGCGTGGGTGACTTTGCGGCTTCAGACATACAACTTTCAGAGCCTTGTCAGCAGCGGCAGGAACAGCTGACAGCGATGGGTTTTACGACCAAGAAAAATAAGGTGAAAAAGAGCAACGGCGAAAAAAAAGCTGGTGGCACCAAAGTGTCCATAAAACCTCGCAATTCGTTCGAGAGTCGGAAAAGCTCTAGGCATAAAATCCACGCTCACTCACCTTGTGCGACTTCTTGACCAGTGGTGGTAATGGAGCTGCCGGGGACACGCGCGCTGCGGCCCCCGACGAGGCCGCCGCAGCAAAACTGATTGCGCCATCCCTGACACCGGCTAGATTATCGTCGGCGCTGGGAGCCCCCACGACCAGGCGCCCGACGCCTAGCGCTCCGCTCTGCTCGACGACCTTGAACTTCCTCTTCTTCAGAGGCGTGTGCTGTTGAGTGTTGGGGGCATTGGACGCATTGCCGGGGGCCGATGTCGTTGTCGATGCCGCAACCGATCCGGATGCTGCCGCAGTGGCCGAGGCCGATGCCGATCTGAGGTGAGAAGCGGACTGAGCCTGCAGCGCCGAGTATGATGCGCCAGCATGATGAGACACATTTTTGCGATGATCTTGTGAAGGCGAGAATTGTGATGAAGGGAATGAAAAAGCAGAGGCGGACGAATTTTAAAAATTTCTGAATTTTTATGCTGTTTTTTGGAAAGTTTGAAATATACTTTAGGATTTGAAATTGTCATTTACCCTGGTTGCATAGACAAAATTTGAATTACTTAATATTTAAAAATCTTATAATGTTGAATCAAAATCTGAATTGAACAAGCTTTTCATGAGTTAAACCACAATGAGATTGCATCTTCATTACAGGTTTGATAGTGTAATTATTTATAGATCGAATTTTTTCATTGTTGTGTTATTCATTTTTAAAAGTTGTTGCTTGTATGTCTTGCTGAAAAATATCATTCAAAGCTCATGCTAGTTGTGATAATAGTTTTATTATGAAAAAAAGGACAAAAATTCTATTTACAAATACTTGAAAGACATATGTAGTTTATTATAGGGAGTGACTAGTTATACTTTAGTTTCGGCTAATTATCACTCACCATATCATACCATACAAAACAAAATTTTGTAATTGGTTAGAGCTATTTCTATGTTTACCTACATGGTCTTCGCAGCACTAGGAAAGGTGCACTAATGCACATTAGGCCAGGGTGAGTGATAACTAGCAACTCCGTTATTATGTTTTCAAATTTTTATTTTATATAAAAATTTTCTTATTTTAGAGAATGTATGAAAGTATTTTCAAATAGTCAATATAACGAAAAAGTTAAATTGGATTTACTTGGAAAATGAAGTGTTGAACAAAAAGCCCACTGGTAGTCGGTATATACATTTTAGTTAGATTTCAATGATACAGTTTACTGACTTGATAAGGGGAGTTGAATGAATGTATCCAAGAATGTTTCATTACTAAATTTCAAGAGTTTGTTACAATTATTGTTTGGTGGTGGAGAAGTAACTTTTAAGGAGAGACATTATATGGATAGAAATATATGTAAATAAAATTTCTCTTGATTTCAAAATTCATTCAAAACAAAAATTCTCTTTTCTGATTGATATCTTGGTCCATGGTCAGAAAAATTTCTTGTCGAAGTTAATTAACCAAAGTGACTGGAAGTAGTCTTTGAGCCTGTACGTCAATAACAATGGTAGTTACAAAGCTTTGTAGGCAGGTGAAGTTGAGTGCTACTGCATGGCATCATAAGATTGGTATGTGCAGTAAGAAAGTAGAGCGCGGGAAGGTTACGATCGAAACCAGTTGAGTCACGAGCCCCTCACAAGATTGTCACACGGTCATGTAAATTACGCCGAATTCAACAAGCGATCTCTTGCGGACGAGTGACTTATAGTTGTTATGGATTCGACCACTGATCCTCCAGGTCTGTACCGCCCTACAGCCGCAACCCATGGACTATTCTCGCATTTTTCGATGAAAATTTTGACTTGAAAAAGGCTGTAAGCTTGGATCTTTCTTCTGACTTTCGAGGATTTTTTATCACAGCCCATGGCTCCAGTAAAAGTGGCCTTTTCTGCCCATAGATTCTTGCATTGGAGTTCACAATCGGATGCCGAAACCGTGAACTCAGACGCCTTATGTACCTTGGCTGCAGAAAATTCCACGGAATGTATTTTCTGCTCCTTGGATTGGGATAAAGAGGAGTGCCAACGTGAACTTCGAAGGTCTTGCGCCAGAGATTCGCTCCGTCCATCGAGCGAATCTTTGACATTTTCGTATCTCCTGCGCTTGGCGCTCCCCGGGCCTCTAGACTAATTCCTCCGACGCATCGGACTGTGATATCCCGCGACTCAAATGAACGCATTTTATGGACTCATTTCTGGATTTCAAATTTTGAATGCTGTTCTGTGAGTTTGATCGTGCGCAAATGTGGAACCTTCTGGACCCAACTAAGAAGCAAATCTTGATGAAGGTTATATCTTGCTGACTGTCCGGTGGGATTGCAAAGCGTCTTGTAAACCGTAATCAAGGAAACTCGAAGAAGATCGCCTTGCTACAAATTTGAATGACTAGGGGACTGGATTTGGCGTTTGCTCTATTGTTCGTGCTCATGTTTCAGTACTACATATTCATATCCGTCACGATGCAAGACTGGTGGCCTTTCTCTGCTGCTCTTATGGTGGTGGGATTCTTCCAGCATCCAATCCATTTTTCTGAGAGTGTGGGAGCATTGGACGACACATGACAGACAATTTTGAGCACACTTGGATCTACAACCTCTTCTCAGGTAATATCAGTCGCTTCCGAAACAACTGAAAATGCTGATTCCCTATCTGGGATCATATTGTTCCTGGAATCTCCGAGTGTCCTCCCACTTGGCCTTTACCTTCAAACATTGCCTGGTGGACATTCTATTTCAACGTCAATTACAGCACAGTTTACCTCGTACAGAAAGGCCGAGTCTGGGGAAGGGAGATTGAGCTTCCCTGATTATGGTGTCTGTCACGAGCGGTAATTCCACCTCTGCCCAAGCAATTTGAGCAAAAACTGAGAGGAACAGTCAGTAGAAGACGACATGCAGTCAACTGAGCATGTTTCTGACGAGCGAGCTGGAATTTTTTCACAAAAAGCAGAAATGCCTGCGGAGGAAGCTAAGATTTCAGAGGAGGAGAAGGCTTCGAATGGACTGTCATCTATATCCATTGGATCCCTTTACCTCGTAACAAAAACATTCGGCAACCCGCATCACCTGCAACATGGAACTGAGCGTAATCTTAGCTGGTGAAACGAAGAGATTCTTTTGTGAATCTATATGGATTCTCTAAACTTTCATTATCCGATGATGAAAGTTTAGAGATGATACTTGAGAACAGAACCCCAAAACTTGTTCCTTGCTTAAAACTGCAAGAGAATTCCGATCGGAGATCAGTTTTACGAACAGAACGACGGTCAGTAGGAGCAGCTGAAACAAGTCCAGAGCAAACCCAATTTCGCTGCGTGGAGTAACGATCCACTTGTCTGTGGCATCCCAAGCGATCGCCTTACCATGTGAGCTACGCTTCATAGAAAGGGTGGAAGCTTTCATGTAAATATGCCCAAGAGTGATAAGTGTACATCCCAATTGTTACGCTTGTACGTGTACTTGAGAACTTATAATTATTAGTATAAAATTAAAAAACCGTTTTATGTCAATATTAACATCCATATGATTCATGTTTGATGCGCATGTTATCCATTATATATTTCATATAAAGAAGATATACTGTTGGCTACTATGTTAATAAGAGAGTAAGAGTTGATTGCTTTAAGGATGGAGTAATATGAAAGCAATTCAAACATTATCATCTTCTCAGATTATATTTTACCTGTATATTTGTCACAATCTGGAGAAAATTACATATGTTTTTATCTTATTCTTAAATCATCTCATATATATATATATATATATATATATATATAATGACTTCTGACTTGATTCCATTATTCAAATAATCATTGTCTGTGTGTGGAGCAAGATGACATTCATCATTTCATGAAGCATAATTAGAGCAACAATGCTGAAATTCTCTCATCATTGTTGATGTCAATTATTTTGTTGATAATTCTTATTGTGACTACAAGCATTTGGTCATTGTTATTCAATGACTTTTCATGTTCAAGATTTGGACCTTTTAGATCATTACAATATCTCATAAATGTGCCATATGATTTTATAGTACATAGAATTCTTAGTATCTTCAACAAAACTTTCCATGGTATTCTGTAACAATTCATTGTGAAAATTAATTAGCCAACAAATTCTTCACAAAGAATGTGAGGAATTTCTAAGAAGAATAATATGGTGGACTGATATCAATCGTTTATTCTTGACAATGTTGGTTCCAAAGAATTATGTGATCAAGAGTAAATATATCGCCTTACACATATGTTAATCTACTCTATCATATGAAAATCAAGAACATGTTGTAGTCCAGAGAGACATCCTACATGATCATTTGGAGAACATAACACAGATTTCGTTTCAAAAAGAATTCAGAGATTGAAATGGAAAGTGCACAGATGCAGTATCTTTGTCATGCTAATTCTATCTTAGAATTTATAGTTATAAACACAGAACCTACTGGTCCATGACTAAATCCGAGTAAGACGTTGCTGCAAGTTACATAAGCTGCAACTGAGAGTCCAGAGGCCAGTTATGAGTCTCGAGACCGCGAAAGTCGATGGTGGCCTGAAGTAGTCTTCTACGTCTGGGTCAGCTCTTATGGTACTCAAACACTCGATCGAGGTGATCTTGACATTTGTTAGTGAGTATATCAAGCCGAAACACAGAATTCTGTTATCATGGACATGGACCTGGACCTGGACGGTGTCTCTTCATCGTAGAGGTAGAGATGTACGAATGAAGATTTACGGTGTCTCTTCATCTTCTTTGGATGTCTGTCCAGTGCGTGAGCTTTTATGCAGGTTTTAAAGCATGTGCCCTTGTTTCATTTCGAACATAAGCCCATGAATATTCGATAGATTGAGTTTCTGTCAGAAACTCCTTGATTTTCTCCCATTTACTTACCAAGAAAAAAATTCCAGCTGACTGATTCGCGTCGTGATCTTCATTGCCCAGCGTCTTGGAACCTTTTTCCTTGCGATGATTCTTTCTCCGCTTAAATCGACCTCAAGTTTGCTTATGCTATTGATATGACCGGAGAAGTTTCCATCCCCTCTAGCTATCGCTTTCTTACCACTGCCCAATATCGTTGATAAATGATCGATGCTCCAGAATCCATGGTTCATGATGAATACGTACGCAGTTTTGAACATGCGATTCTGCACCTGAGTGAGTCTATTGCTGTGATGATTCGCGGTGGCATGGTTATGTAAGCTCGGTGCGGACCCTTTGGCTTCCAGAGCACACTCGCACGTTCTTCTTACTTATTGAGACTGGTCGGAGTCTCATGCTTGCATGGAGAATCTCCGCATTTCATCTGAGCCCGTAACGTCATAGACTTGATCGGACTATGCGGTTTGCACAGCAATATCAAACCGAAGAAGATTTACGCAGACCTGAGGAAGGAGAAATGACTTGATTGATCGATGGCTTGGAGAGAAAAGAATGGCTGTAGAGAGACGTGGTGTAATTTCCATAACAAAGGACGAAGGACACATGCATTTTGAACGATGTATTTGCTCTAAAGAGTAACCAACGAAAACTTATGCTACTGAACATCGACCCTAAACAACATCGTCGGGGAATTACTCGACCATCAATTAAGAAGAAGGATAATCCAGAAAGAGATGGCTTGATAAATTTAGAATGTAAGTTGAATACCTGTTTGGCCTTACCTTTATATTCTTGAACAAAAGTGAGCGTGATTCACTTCATTTTAATTTCCTAGATTGAAGGTATAATTACGAGAAGAGCTTGCAGACTGGTTGAACGCAGCGAAGTCAAAGCACTGAACGCGGATGCGTCTCGTATGTTTTCATCGGATCTCGGAGTTCAACATAGCTAGATAGGATCTGGATTTCAACATAGGATCTGGAAACGCAAGAGCGACAGTCAGAACCCGTTACATCAAATTTACGTAAGATTCGAATCATGAAAAAGAGGCTGACATCACATAGAATTGATCGATCTCTCAGAATCACTTAGCTGCTTTTTAATATTTTATGCAATGAGAAAACAATTTAGCTCTAGACGGCGAGACCGGGACGCACGTTAGCTACAAGGTAGGAAAATTCTACAGGAAGGTCCTCATGTCTCGCGTGCACCAGTGTCCTAGCGGAAAGATCTAGTATTGTGTACAAACCAGGAGAAGCAAGATCCATTTTCGGCTTGAAGTTCGAGACGCTGATTGATATTGACTGGATATACAGGATCTGAAATTAATGTCGGATAGCAGATTTTGTGCAGACAATAACGGAGCTTGACTTTGCTGCTCATTATGAGCTTTACAGGTGAATCAAACATAACAAGCATGTCAATGATGATAAGTATCGAGCATATATTGATATATATATATATATATACACCGGGAGAAAGATCGAATTTACAGGAGGTCACTTTCAGTAGATTGGTGCAATTAATATTTTTAACACAAGTATTACAGCTATTACATCTCAGATGATTATTCAGATGCGTCTATTACATCTCAGCATTGGCGTGAAGTCCCTGGATTATATTGGAGGGATCGATTTCACATGAACATAGTCAAGTTGACCGCACAAACATTAGCTAGATGTCCAAATTTTGGCGATTAGGCTTTCCACCTCAGCTTCTTATTAAATCTTCAATTCGAGGAAGGAAATTTATGAGGAGATTTGAATTAAATTGAGATGCCATGCATGAAGTGATGTATGCCTCTAGTCTTTAAAGCTGTTCCAAAACCTTTTTGTCTTACAATTATAACTGGTCTAGTAACAATTTTTTTTACCAAAATCAAGTTTTGTTGCTACTGTTTTAAACCTACTTTGAACTGGTCTGTCTGAAATGTATATACTTTATATATTATTGAAATAAACGATTATTACTGATCAACTTACTTTTAGGCATTTGACTTTCTTCTGTTCTCGGCAACTTGCACGTTGCTGAACTCTTGCCATCAAATGTTCTATCAACTTACTATGGTCCTCGATAATTTCATGACAATTACATTCTCTTTAAATTCTTCAACAACAGTAGACATACTACCAGATCAAATTTCATGAATATATTTACAATTTAAATGATTGACTATCTATCTATTTTTTATCCTTTTAGTTGACAAAACGTTCATTTATGTCACAAGTCAACATCTCAGTATGGTAAACAGTAAGTCCAAGGTACAGAAAATACTCCATCCTTGAGACTGTACGCCTAACTATGTAACCAGGGAATGCGCATGTGCAAAAGCACATGCGCATTTCCTGGAACGAGACACGATCAATGGAAGGTGTCACTTCATCATGCGGCACAGAATTTGCGGTTGAGATACCTACTATGGGCTGGATACGAGCGTAAGTATAAGCAACGGTCTTTCATGTAAGTGTGAATGTGAATTCCGGACTCAGAGAGCGTTGTAATTTCCAAACAGATAAGAGGCTCATGCTGAGCACATCGCACGCCTAGATGAAGATGGCGTGTCGTGCTGCCGACACGACAAGCTTAAGCTTCGTCGATGTCGAAAAGCCTCAGTTGGTCATCGGCACCATTAGTGATAACGAAGGACTATGCAAATTTGGGAGCATACGATATTCACAATCTGATTCTCAGGCCCGCAGGGCTAGGACACTTGGAACTGCTACAAAGAGTATACATTGTAGTCGTATCAAGATTGTGAGCGTATCTAACTACTCCTTCGAAGCTTCCAGAAGTTACAATATGAAGGGATACGTTCATTGGAATATCCATGCGTTCTAAACTGGCTTCCTCTCCCAGGAAAGGTTTTCCAGCTTGTGCGCACATAGAGCAGAAAGCATCTAAAAGCAGACCTGTTAGTATCATTCCTTTTTATGTATGGTGACCAAATAGCGTATGATATTGCTACTTCTTTCTTCGTCTGATTGACTAGAGAGAGTCAGGGTAACAAGAGATCCAGGTTCAATGGTATTAATTTTAGAATGATCCCATGCCTAGGGAAAATAGCATATCCTTATACAATTTTTTCAAGGAAAACTGAAGTGCAACATCAAGTTGATCTTGTGGAAGACCTGAAACGCACATGTAGAATTAGATGCCCTGCTGGAAACTCTTATGTGGGGTAAAATAGTTTCACCAAGTCCGCTTGGTCATGTACGTGATGTGGGTTGGTAGCTGGGAGAATTTACCGAACCGGTTCCGCAACTGTTGGTGGTGAAGAAAAAAATAGCGATTTGGAAGTTGACTGGAAATGTGTATATGTTGAAGTAAATAATCAAAAAGTGGAGAGCCATGTGGATAAGAAAAGGAAAAAAAATTTGAAAAAGTTACCTCCTATCAAACTGTACAAGGAATAAAAATTAGATAGTTGAAAGATACTTAATGTGACTGAAAAGACAATGTCGGTGCAGGTCTCAACGCATACTTATGTCTTACAAAATTATGAGGAAAGAGAAAAGAACTTGCATGTACATTGGATCATTAACGTTGCATGTACAGCCGGTTAGATATTAAAAAAATTTGTACTTATCAACCAATTAGATCCTAAAAATGCCAGAAATAATATCTGGAGCTGATACAACGCAAATATAAATCTAAAGATCGTTGTTCAAGAATGCTGTGGTTTCACAGTTATCGAAAAAATAATCCTTTTCCTACAACTTCTACCATGTTTGAAAGTTAAAGTAGTCTTGAAAGTGATCAGCTGATTGAATGCTATTTAATAGAATCTACTTCAAACAAAGCACCTCATTTATTGAATGTCAAGTGACATCAAGAGGACTGCAAAAAATTTTCATATCGAGTGAAATAGAACAATCAGTCTTCATTGCTGATATACGTACATCTTATTGCGCAGACATGACAGATCAAATGTGCTGTACTTTACAACAAATGTTGGAAAACATCATCTTCATTGACCAGAGCGTTCTGAAGTTGCATGTCCTGAACCTCCCATGTATCTTGCAGAAAAGATTACAAGACTTATTAGATATGCTGATGGATCTGGATATGTCAAGATGCTCTATAAACCTCGAGATTAAGCTCTCCGGCCAAACACATCACCTGCTGAGATGAGATGGTTGTATAGAGCTATGAATCTCCATAGTCAGTACCAATGTCACCCTCGACTTGTCAATGGGTGATACCGCATCTCCTTCCTAGAAATGCAACTCACATGCGGATTCGTAATATGATCCACCAGGCCAATTCTCTGTATAGAACAGAATTTATTGGCTTAATGTGCCAGGGCCGTTGTGCCTCGCTAACACTAAACTCTTCGAGTCTAAAGTGAGTGTCACTTTTAGACGATCGAAACCTCTTCGAGTCTAAAGTGAGTGTCACTTTTAGGCGATCGACACCTCGTTCTCAGTTAATGTTATTGACTTTTATTCTAACTGAGACAACAGCTTAAAGAGCTCGATAGGCTTCAGGTTTAAGCTTCAAAACTCAATCTGGGTGAGGAAATTATATTTCCAGCTTATAGGGCATGTGAACTAAAGTAAATTTGGGGATCTGTCGGGCAGCATTGACATATAAACGTTGTAAAGCAATGACGGGCCTTGGCATGACTGCTTTTGTTGATGACGCCAGATCTTCTTTGAGCAATAATTTTTACTTTCAGAAAGGTCAGCTTTTATCATACGGATTGTAAATCATCAACTAGGAAACATCTTAATCTATGGTTACTGACTGTGGATCATTTGCCTCTGATGAAGATTCTGAATTGCAAGATCAGAAATATTATAGGATTGACTTTCCATGATCTTAATTTCTTGTAGGTAATATGATCACAGGTAGTCAAGACTTAGAATCTCGGAGTTGAAGTAGAAAAAGTTCCTCAAGATGCCACCAACCTGCAGGTTGAGTATAAAAAGGAACTCGCACAGACATCGAGATTGCATCGCTTTTCAGCATTCTGATCATCAGTGCTTTCGTGTATTACTTCGCTGAAGCTCCCCGTTTGTGACTATAAAACCGATCCAATGATAGGGCTGAAATTGATTCTCCATCTGAGCCGAATTCTTCACTCACAACTGTCAGAGCTACTGAACGAGTGCTGCTAGTGGTCCGGGATTGGAATCAGAGAAAAACAAATCTCGATTTATTTTCTCGTCTGTGAAGGGATAGCTAGATCGACGAAAGATCGCAACAATGGGTAGAATTGAAAGAGGATGCGCAAAAAGTTCGAAACGTTACGTGATGGCATGCTGGTTCGTTCTTCATGTGATCCTATCTTCAATCTCAATGGTGACAGCCGAGCACTCCGTATGCCTCGCACTGCAGCCTTCACCAGCATTGACACCATTCGTCGACAAACTGCCCATCCCTCCTACCATAAATGTCTCCAACGGCACTCGGCTCGTACTGGGAGCTTACAAGATCACTCAGGTGCATATATGAACTGTATTCATCAAATTCAGCTATTCATCATCAAGTGGGCGAATAACCAGCTTTCTGACCAAAATGGAAATCAGGCAATGATGACTTAATTTAACTTGCTATTCAGTCTTTTGTTGATCAGAAGCCCATCCATGCAAAATAGAAGACAGTTGTATTGCTCATGAATGTATTAACAAGCTGCAGAGGCTCACTGTTATATGGGTACATGCTCCATGGTGCAGAAACTACATCGTGATCTTCCACCCACAACCCTTTACGCCTACGGAACGAGCCAAGCATCGGCGAGCTTTCCAGGACCGACTCTGATGGCCAAAAAATATATCACCACTTCAGTGCGCTGGGAGAATCACATCATCGACACGGAGCATATGTTCACCGTGGACAGGAGTATCCATTGGGCGGATCCACCCAACGGAGGAGTGCCCATGGTGGTACACCTGCACGGATCCGAGACCCGCAGTGACAGCGACGGGCACCCGGACGCTTGGTTCACTGCGGCTGGAGACGTCGGGCCCACGTTCACCTCGCAGAACTACGTGTACCCGAACGATCAAGAAGAAGCTCTTCTCTGGTACCATGACCACACCGTCGGAATGACTCGCTTGAACTCCGCCGCCGGAATGGTCGGACTCTATTTCATAAAATCTGTCGTGGAAGAGGCATTGCTTCTACCATCTGGACCTTTCGAGATTCCTCTCGTCATCCAGGACAGAAACTTCTGGGCCAATGGGTCCATCAACTTCCCGGACACCGGTATTTTCCCTGAACATCCGAACTGGTGCCCCGATTATTACGGCGATACGATTTTGGTGAATGGGAAAGTGTGGCCGTACCTCGAAGTGTACCGAACGAAGTACCGCTTCCGGATGCTGACTGCAGGAAATGCCCGCTTCTTCAACTTCAGTCTCAGCGAGCCAAGCCTCAGCTTCGTTCAGATCGGCACGGACGGCGGGTTCCTCAATAAACCACTGACCATGAAGACGTTGTTGATGGCTCCTGCGTACCGGACTGACATGATCATCGACTTCTCCTCGCTCCCGGTGGGTACGAAAGTGTACATGAACAACTCTGCTCCCATTTTCTTCCCCGGAACACCGCCTCCCGGGACATCGATTGACAATTCTCCCGGCCAGAGGCAGGTCATGGAGTTCAGAGTCGTTGCACCTCCTCCTGGTTATAATATGCCGACAGTTTACGTCCCGAGCATTTTGGCCCCGACGCCCGACAAGAACTTGAACCCCTACACTGACGTGCAGCGGAATTTGACTCTGAATCTAAGTCCACCCGGGACCCCGTTCACCCTTCTCCTGAACAACCATCGATTCATGGACCCGGCGACGGAATCGCCAAAGCTCTATACGACGGAGATCTGGTCTATCACCAATTTGATCGGAACGACGCACCCCATTCACATCCATCTGATCAACTTCCTCATGCTGGACATGCAAACCTTCGACCAGGGGAGACTGAACGCGGGGAATTGCTCTCTTGCATTGCAGTTCCCCGACCCTCTGAGCTGCTTCATTGAGCCGCCACAGCCGCCCATCGATGCCCAAGCTGGCTGGAAGGACACAATCATCGTGTTTGACCAGAAAGTCACCAGGCTGCTGCTCCGATGGAAGCCTCGATATGGTGTCTTCACGTTCGATCCCACAACGGAGCCCGGCTACGTGTGGCACTGCCACATGCTCGACCACGAGGACAATGATATGATGAGACCTCTCGTCATGAGATGGATTTAGACTCGACCAGATCTCGTTCTTTTCCCGCTGCCTTCATAAAATAATTTCCTTCGGAACGAGAATCTGTTCATGGATGGATGTATGTCAGCAAGCGGTCTGGCCTCTCCTGTGGCGGCTCAAGGAACAGTGAATAAGCTTCCGAAGATTTGCTTATGTGCATAGTATTTTGCGTTGCATAGAAGTCCTCAAGAAAGGACAAACAATTCTGTTTTCTAGTTATAATAAATTTCATGAATATTTATCCTGATATTTTTATCTGATTACATTTTTCTCTTTTTCCCAAATTTACCCACAAAAAAGTAAAAAATCCTCTTTTAGAATTATGCATCCATCATGATGATGATATCCTCGCCTCTGTCTCCTCTCGTGCCTACTGTTCGATTCTCTACTGGAATGAATGAGGTCTCTTCTGCATATTTTCTTATATTCCACGTGTTATATGTTTGATTACATTCTTCAAAACTGGTGATAAGATTCAAAACAGAATCTTCTGCAAAGCTCGAGTATGAGTGAGAGTAAATATTCATTCTAGAGCACCATCTGCAAAACCTCTACCATGATTAACGGTTTACTGGATTACTGCGGTCTTCTCAAAACGATAATTAAAATTCTGCATCTTGAGAGCAATCAGAATACAACAAAACCATTGCTTGCTATGCCTAAACCCAGGCTTTATGTTCAACAAAAGTAAAATTCATTTAAGCGCCGCCCGGGGGGCTCGAACCCCCGACCACAAGGTTAAGAGCCTTGCGCTCTACCAACTGAGCTAGGGCGGCTGATGGAGGTGATTGAAGAAGATATATTTAAGAATATAATAAACCGTATTGAAACGAGGATGCATACGAGAGAGAATGTCCATTCTTCAGATCAGTTATGGAGATAGTTCGGCCCAAAATCTTCCACTCGATCTGGGGGTCCCAAAATCATGTTATGTTGAAGCCTAGCTTTTTATAGTAATTAGACAAAGTAGATCATATCGTATACGATTGCATTTCTTATCATACGGATTTCATACCGTATTTAAGTATGACTTACATATTTTTGGACAAGATAAGAGATAGTTTCTGCTCATGATATAATCTTTTAGCAATACGCGAAATTGATGAAAAAGTAGCAGAAGTTTGTGGAACAAGATTCTCTTCTAGCAACTATCGAGAAGGGAATTCAAGATCTGAGCAGATCGTGTTAACGAACACGGTTGGGGTTGGAAACTGGTGCGAAAGCTCCTATGAAAGTACAGTAGGTCCTCATCCTTTTTACTAAATAAATCGGCGCCGCGTGGACCTTATCCGAAGGTCGAGAAAGCCAGCGAGACAGCCAGCGGTCGAGACAGGCAACCAGTCTGATGCGGAAGCAAATGCAGCCCCGAATTGCGGCAGATGAAGGCCCTTTTACCTCTGCTTGCCCAGTCACAGATCACCCAGTGTGGTGCAACTATGCTTGTCTTACATAGCATACAGATAATTTGTGTTCCCCTCCACGTTTGTCATTCTTCACAATGTGCCCAACCGATCTTCCCATACCGTTGCAACTTCCCGGTTTCTCGAGTACCTTATATATGTATGACAAAATTATCCGGTATTTATTCTAGCCATAAATCTATCTCAAATTTATCTATGCAGTATAACTTGCAATTAGTTAATCCTAATTTTCTTTGATTTTTATTTTATTTATTATTTTGTGATTCTTAAGTGATCATTTATATTATATAATTGATAATGGTATATAACTTATATACCATTACCTGTAAGCATACATCTCACTAAAAGAATACAATACACACAGTTGGGGAACCTTCTAGGAGTGTTAAATTAGCTTTCACTGATCTCCCGCTGCCTAAAGCCAATTCACGAGATACCAATCCGCTAACTTGCATAACCTCACTCCTCTACAAGTTCTAAATTATGCAGGATTTAAACTTAAAATCAAATCAGAAGCCCGTTTGTGAAGAGACCGCTCCAAAATTTAAGAATACTGGAGCACTATGATTCTTCACAAAACGGGATGCCACTCCCGGAGATTACACACGGGATAAGTAAAACGAAGTGAACCCTTTGATGCCTAATATCTGAAGGAAAACTCTTTGACAGCAAAGTTCTCTACGACTGCATCTAGATAAACTTCTGAAGTAAAACATTCTGTTAGGCTTCAAGTGTAGCCAAATCTGGAAGTCGTACCTTTGCACTTTAAATACCGAATCAAGTGCTGTGTACAAATTGTGTACAAATCTAATCGCCAGGTATGTGGAATTGCACTACGGAGGTCCTAGGCAAGTAGACAAAGCTATAGTCGTTGCTTAGTTCCTCCGGAGGTCTTGCACTCAGAGACTGACTTGGAGGGAGAGGGAGAACACCGGCGTGGAATTATTTCACAGGGTCAGTTGACTGAAAAAGTGCTCCCTCTTTCTCGAACACATCCGGGGCGCGAACGACCGACCGACGGGTATCACTTGACCAACACTTAAAGGTCCCACCTCCTCCTGTACATACAGAACGAAAGGTGAGAGAGGAGGAGGAACCGCGTAGCTCTATCTGCTGCAACTTCACTCACTCGTATGGTATCGAATACAACTCCAAACGTTGGAGTTTATTCCGCTCGGCGATCGCTTCGGGCCTTTTGTGGCTACGGCAGTGTGCTTGCAACTAACGTCCACTCCCCACCAGGGGCACGATGAGATGGTGCGCTGTGTTCTTTCTAGTAGTACTGGGACCGCAGTACCCTTTTCATCCAGCCGGTCCGAATCAGCAAGTCCGTGGGCGAATTAATTTCCTCTGTCGGCACCTTTTCACGTGGCATCAAAGCCGGGCCCTGGCCACCGAAGTCGTCTCAAATGATCCGGTGACGAGCACTGGTCAGCTCAATTTGAGCCCGAGGAGGGAGCGGATGGACGGAGAATGTTTTGGCCGATGCCCCCGGAAGGGCAACTAAGGAACGTGTGCTCCGTGACAAGGCCGCGAACTGCAGAAGCGATTGTAAGTTGGGAGTATCCTGGGTCTATGCTCAAGCAGCAGGGAAAATTCGAGCGAATGAGAGAGATCAATTCTTGACCCTTCGAGTCTCTGACGCCGCTTGTTTAAGGAATTGCGTCACCGGAGGACCAGCGGAACGAGAGCACAGTCGGATTGGCTCCCTTTACATTGTTATCTTTTGTCCTCATTGTCTGGATGTACGTATCACATCGTCAGTCATAGCTAAGCTATTCTACGTCGAGGTCGAGGTCGGAGGTCTACTGCTGTTTCTTGAGAACATAGATTCAGACAGACTGACAGACATACATACCTCAGCTGAAATTGTTGATCTGCGCAGTGTCTCGATCCGTTGTAAAGCAAATTCAGAAACGTACTTTTTATCGGGAGCATACTCTCGTAGGAGTGGGACTGACAATTGACACCGTCTCGTTGCCCGAAAGATCGAAGACGAATTGGCTAGCCGAGTGCAATTGAACGGCGTGCTGTTCATTCTTTATCTCCGATCTGGTCGAAGTCGATTATGATTGTGAACCACAACTAGGCGAGATGGCGGCTACCCCCGTGAAAGAAGAAGAGTTCGATGAGTCGGTGTATGAGAATATGATGATACCTACCCCTGTTGGTGACTTCTACACCGTCCCTTATCGGGGACTCCTGGTGGCAGATGTGAGAAACGACGCCGATCGTTTCAAGGATGCGACTGATGTTCTGCGGTTCCTAGTACAGCACGACCCGCGCAGGGTGAATCACTCGCAAAAGCTCATCCGTAATGGTGCTGGCGATCCCATCGTTTTCCTTCAGAGAAAGGTTCGTGTGTGTGTGTGTGTCTCTCTCTCCTTTCCGAGGGTTCCGGATTCTCTGAACATTGAATTTTCTCCTCGGCTCTAACTTCACGAGAGTGATGACTGCAAGCAAGAGACGGAGGATTGGGATAGAAATTGGGCGACGTCGGCCTACGTCGAAGACATTCCGGTCTGGGAGGTTATTTTAGGAGTGGCATTAGACCACGGAGCCTCTGCTGACAGATTGGTTGTTAGGTCAATATGCAGACGATCTGCAAAGACCCATTGACTTTTTTCAAGGGATTAAGGGACGGGCATTAGCACGCATATAATTTGAATGTTATACAACGAGTTTTGCTTTCTCTTCGATCCAGAGTAGTGTAATCCTGGCGCGTCATAATTCGGATAGTTCCGCTCGATCCGTTGAATCCTGTCAATGCAGAACGGCAATACGATACCGGATGTTTGGGGAAGTAATCTAGAAACAGACCAGAGAGAACATATGAGTATTTCGAAGGACAGAATACAGCACGACGTATGCAGAGTAGAGACTGTAACATGGAAGGTTGATGAATGTGAATCTGACGCCTTTGTCGAAGATTGTTGTTACAGATGACGAGTCTACATTACAGATGGAGTGCTTACCTAGGCGACAAAGAATCCGAGGAGAATTACTTGTTCACTATGAGAATGCCATCCGGTATTCATAAGCATGTCAAATTTCACATATTCCTGCCTGGGAATCTGGATAAAAAGTCGCCCGACTTTGTTGTGAAGGGTGAATTCAAAGATCACACATACACCATATCTCACAGGGATGTGCCAGTAGCTCAGGTAATGCAGAGTTCATTCTCATCCTTCATTTCTTGTTTGTTCATGTTTGCAGTATTTTCTCCACAATTAGTGCTTTTACAACATCTTGTATTTTGAGATATTTCCAGGCCAGTGAGGTACATGAAATGGTGTGAGCTGAGTTGAGTTGGTGAAAGCTTTTCTTTCATAAATAACGCTGGCAGACGGTTCTGAATGGAATAGAGTAGGATCTTATCCTGCAATTTTGTTAGAGAAGCCAAGTAGCCATTGTTCTTCAGTTTATCTCGCTCGAGGCTGCTGATGAAACAGGGAAGGGATTACCGACAAGTTAGATACGTAACTATTTGCACAACCTCACACTGTGCTCAGCTGTGAATGAAATATCTTTTCTAACACCAATTTTCATACATCGTTGTATCAACTTCATGTTGTCTATCTGGATGTGGAAGAATACGCTTTGTGTTTATCTTCTGGTCTGAAGATGAAACGTTTTTGTTAACACGAATCGACTAGGGTGTATTGAAGTGGCTTGGACTCTATTAAACAAACTATAGTCTTGCGCCTCCCGACGAGGGATGCTCTGTCATCTGGGGTTACTGCCAGGAATATGTAGGTCTACAAGAAGGAATTTCTTTTTAGTTTATCCTCCAAGTTGGATCCTTCCATTACCTTTCTGGATTTCAGTTTTGACCTCGTAAATCAGCGTCATCAACTTTTTTGGAAACTGATCATAGTACCTGACAAGAGTTAGCGCTGGATGCGGTCATGTGTGCAGATTGTGAAGAAGTTGGACATTGAGGCTATCAAACTAGATAAGAAAGATTATGCTATGAAGCTCTGTCCCGGAGCTGATCATGCTTTCGTCATTTCTGTAGTGTCTATTATAGAACAACTGAATGTGGACGGATTTCTGCCCAAACTTAGCAGAAATCCATCCACGAAAATTGTAAAGTAGAGCAGTACTTCTAAGTGTGGTAGTAAAATAACTCTAATGATTGTTTTTTATTCTCAGGTCTCACGATTCTTCTGAGTCGTGAGACCTAACATAATTCATCTCTTGGACTGTAAACATAATTCATTCATATATCCTGTCGAGTTCACCTTCACGTACATTCTGGACTTCGGAAATTTGCCATTAATATAGGCATTTTTGTTCATCAGTCAACTAGCTTATTCGTCTCTGCTCCCTTCTTTGCCTTAAAGAGTGTCACGTGGACATCAGTTTGTTCCAATGTACTTGTGCTGTTCAGTTATTGCGGAGTATCGCAAAATTTCGTCAGTATTCAAGACGATGACTGGGTCAGATATTTCGTATTTTAAACGTTTTTTTGTCATGGAATAGACGTTATGACCTCGTCTCTAGCACAGCAGAACTATCTATTGTAGGGTAGGTGTTAGGTGGCGGCCTTTCGTGTCGAAAACCTCTCATTCTAGACGTGGCTACTACTTTGGAGCTGTGTTCTGAACACTAAGGCTATTAATCAACAGTCTCGAGATTGTAAATACTGCAGCAGAGAAGTTTTAACCAATCTCAAGGAGTTCATATCATCTGATCAGTACGTTTTTCACAATTCAGTTGTCAGATCACATCATTTTAGCTCTGCATAAAATGTAAAGTAAAGAATCCACTATAACCATTTGCAAGCAAAGAAGAGGCCTCGACTGCTTGCTGGTTAGAAAGAAGGTTGTTGGTTATTTAAAAGAAAGTATCGCAAGTTTACATTGATTGATTTGGTGTGTAAAAGAAAGTTAGGTGAAAATTAGTGCACAAAGTGTTCGTCTCCAACCGCTCCATGTTTCATTTTTCCTCATGTTTGTAACATCACATTAGAAACTTTGAGTCCAAACAAATAAAACATACAGGGCAGAGTAGTGACGGGGAGATAACCGTTGTCATTTCAATGCGTATTTCTAGGAGTAAATGAATGCTACATTCCATTTGTCAACCATCTATATGTTTTTCTCTCTCTTCCTACTTCATCTAGTAAAGCGTATGAAGATCATGGGTATCAACTCGCCATGAACATCCTAATGGAGTAAAAGAAGAAATTCGGTATCTCCGAAAGATTTGGAACCCTGTTTCCCGTTGACACCTCTCATTTACGAAGTGCATGCCCACTTGAATGTGTTTTCATGAATATTTGTATCTCAAAGATCTCAAAGATATTCTCTTCATGCATGCATCAAGAGAGTTGGGTTTGTCTCATGTGACCCATCGAAGTGTAAAACCTCAATTAAATTGCAGTGACATGGGCTAGCACTACACCGGCTCGACTATTCAAATGCATGAAACATCGACTATCAAATGCTTAATATTTTGACAGTAAGTAGCATCCACAATTGAGTTTTCTGTTGTGAGCATGAGGTCATAATGTATAGTTTTCTCTTCTTTTCCTTGGCATCGGTCCTTCGCTATGTGCTTTGAACTTGTCGTTTCACCCCTCTTTGGTTGCACACAGGCTCGTCCTTGTTCACATCGAGCTCCTTGGAGATGAATTATTTAAACTAATGCAAGCATTTGGTTACATGAATGAGGTAGGGTTTATTGACAGTGTATCAGAAGAATATGGGAAGCAATACATTGCTTAAAAGGGATTCACAGCTTGCATGAAAATGTCAACTATAAAGTGGTACCGGTATCAAGCGATCTTCGACCTGTTCAAAATCACAATACGCTACAATCGTGCACACGACGCAGTTTTAGAGAAGCAGGTCAATAATGCAAACACAGTATTGTGAAAACACCATATACATTAGGTAACCTATGCACAAACTTCTTTCCACACGATATATCTCGAGAAGATGGTTGAGTGGCCTAAGGCGCAACAGTGGGAAAGGTATGCGAGTTCATGTGACATGTGCAAAAGAAATAACACGTGGGTCTGCTCTGATCGCCAGGATATCATCTTTTAATCATGGTAGGTATAAGTTTCCTCTTTTCTAGCTGGCATCAATTTTCTTTCTTCTGAGTTCCAGTAAAAATAAGCAGTTCTGCTCCTTGGCGTGAAGAACAGGCATATTATATATTCGCCGCTGAAGATGACAATCTGCAATTATTTCAAGACTGTCGCAGTAGTCTTGTTCGTAGCATCTCTCCGCGTTGACTATCAAAATTTGTTTCTTAAAGTTCACCGGTCTGATGGAAAGGGATGCTTTTTGTGGAGTAGTCATGCCAGAAATTACTCCGATCAAATACCTCTTTCGTTAGTTTTCGTACTTCTCAGGATTACATAGACGGGGGAAAATGGTTCTGATACCCAAAAAATATGCATTTAAATAGCATTTGGATGGATCATGCTGTTAAGGTGATGTGTCTATATTATAGTACATCAAGTAACAATATATATTTATTATGTAATCATCATCATTTGTTGAAATATGAATGCTCAATTGCTTGAATGTAAGATTTTATTCATAGATTCAAAAAAAATATATATCTGGACTATAATCATGTTCTTTTTTTTCTTGGGAATGAACTTGGGAGTCATTAATTGATAATATCTGATTGAAAAATGCTTCAAAATAGAAAGTTGAAAGTTGACATAGCTTTGACATGTAGTCTTGACCTGAAAGGGTTATAAAATTTGACCAAACTTACAACGTCTAGCCTACCTACAATGAATATTTAATTCCAATCCAATCTGTAAAAAGTCAGCTTACGTAAAAGACTAAGCAAGCCTCCCAAACGAAGCCAGAATGAACCCTATCGAAAAACATAAAATAAAGGGGAGCTTAATTACTGTCGTATACCAGCCGGTTTCAAAACTTCCAGTTCCAATCAAAGCAGTTCGTAAAGTCCCTCATTTTTAAGTTATAATAGTAACCACGACGCTTCCTTCCCGGAATTAAGGATAGGATAAACCAGCGCTTAGCGCCTCGGGTTTTCACATTCGTTGTTACAAATATATAAATTATTTCCACTTTTACGAAAAAAAAGATACGATTTATGGATAACCAATTGAGTTTCAAATCCCTAGTACTTACTTTATCAAAAAGGATACATAAATGTCAAACAGTATCTGCGCACATGGAAGATCCGATGACGAGATCGGGTCCGTATGATTGATGGTTCAATTGTCGTGAATACAAAGGACGGGGACTCCGCGGCCTGTATTAGATATCGGTAACAGCGTCCCATCTTGTCCAATGGTGGGTTTCGGGGATGTTCGAGGCGGACGACCACTTTGCTGTTCATTACGACATCAGTCGTATTGAACAGCAAGTCTTTCGGTCTGTCTCTGTCTGTGCTGGACTTTGTCAATGGAGCTCAGGTCAGGCCATTTGGTTCTTAAATTTCAATTTGATAGCTTGTGGTATGAATTGGAGCCAAGAGTCTTTGCCATAGAGAGCTGATGTTCGAGTGACTGGTGATAGTGAAGAGCGTCTCAATCAGTGTGTACGGAGTCAACACGCGGACATTCACAACTTATGGCCACTGGAGTATCGATGGAGAGTAATGCTCTGCGCCACATCGTGATGATCAAAGTGGCAGACAAGGAGAACATTGTTAAGATGTTGCAAAAGTTGGAAATTCTCGGGGAAGGAATTCCTGGAGTTCAATGGAATACTTTCACAGTGAACACTGATATTGGTATCTCATTTGCTCGCTTCAACATCGCTTGTTTCTCTTCTGTTATATGATGGACCTGGAAGAAACTACGAGTTTCAAATTACTTGATGACATATCAGATGTGTTCGGCATTGTTGATTCATTGGACGTTTAGTAGTGTCTCAGTTTCTGGGACACTTCCTGAATTTTGTGTCCAGATTACATCTATCGAGCTAGTGTATGTTCTTCAATGATTGCTCATGAACCGCTCAACTGCATGCCCATTGATTTATGTATTTGAGCTATCTCAAGCATAAATTGATCAGCTTATATCTGCTGAGAACTGGATTCTCTCAACCTTCATAACAATTTTTGTATGGTCTTTCTCTCTGACACTTACAGTTGTATATGTTCTCTGCGCAGGCCTCATCGAAACAAATTATGACATGGTACTGACAATAGACTTCCCTGACAAGAAGAACTTCTTCGAGTACCAAACGCATCCAGTGCATGTAGCTTTGGTAGAAGCTAGTACACCTCTGATAGCTTCATTCTCTGTAATTGAATTCTACCTAGCACCGAAGCAGTGATGTATAAGGTAACCGTGGCCTTAGTGCAATGATCAAATGTCGTTGACTTTGCATAATAATAAAGACTCTCTTCAACTGTAAAACGGCGCTTGCTCCTCACACTATAACAGTCTAACCGGTCTCATCTGCCGCCTCTTGAGATTCTCAATGCAGCGGCTCTGTTTCGTTACATAGTTTACATCCTGGAACCAAAGTTTAAGGGACAAATGGGACAGCTTGAGTTGGTAGTTAAATATGCAATTTCAGACGTTCGAGAAGCATTTGCTAGCATTTGCAATGATCGTCGAGTCATAAGGGCAACTGCATGGGCCATGCTAGTAACTTTCGTCTTCTCTTAGGTTCCTGATTGTTTCAAGATGGCGAGTGGCGAACACGACCTGAATCCAGATTAGTCCTCTTACGACAAGATTGCTCTTAATTTGGATGCTTGACCTCACTGTTCGTTCTCAGCATTCGTTCTGAAGGCAATGTATCAGATCAAATCTCAAGCTTCAGATACTGAAGTGATCGTGGTAAAATCGGAAAAGATTTCATATTCATCAATCTCATTGCGTCGATTCGCCCTGTCTTCTCAAAACACAGTTGTACTGATCAGCCAGATTCCCGAGCTGGGAATCGAACGTGCATAGCACAATCGAGATTAGCAGTAACGATTCACTACAACTATTTCAGAATATTACTATCCCCCATCGGATCTTAAATTAATCAATGGATTATAACAAAACTCTGACCCTGAGGCTTTCACATTGCACATGTCTTTCCCCGATAGGCGTCGACATTCAGTGCAGTGCAGGGCAGGGCAGCGCAGTGCAGGCACCCAATTCCAGCTCCGACTGTGGCCGAGGGAATGAACAAATGATTGAAAACGCTGATCAGCAAGTCCGAGGGGAGTCCAGTGGAGGACCAAGGGACGGGCCGGAAGAAGAGACGAGCCCCCGAGGAGTACGATCGGGGCCGCTAGGTCCAGTCCTAGCCGTCAGAGCGCCTCGATGAGGTTGTTCCCGGTCACGTTCAAGTACTTGAGCTTCTTCAATTGGGAGTAAGAACCGGGCACTCTCCCCCCGAATCGATTATTGGACAGGTCGAGGAACTCCAGATTCTGCAGACGGCCCGCGGTAACAGGAAGGGGGCCGCTGAAGAAGTTATCGGAGAGGTCGACGTGCTTGGCGTTGAAGCTGCCGACGACGCCGAAGGCGTCGGGGAACCGACCCCAGAAGCGATTCTCCGACAGGTCGAGGCGGATGAAGTCTCGGAGCACTCGGCTGACGAACAGCGATGGCACGGGCCCGTAGAAGCTGTTGTGGTGGAGGTCCAGGAAGATGAGCCCGTTCCTGAATTGGAACTGCCACGAGGACTCGTTCGGGAGTTGGGAGTAGAAATAGTTATGCGACACGTCGACCGAGTATATGTTCGGGTTCTCGAACACGGCGCCGGGAAGCGCACCGGAGAAGGAGTTCCACGAGAGGTCAAGCCGGGAGACGGTTTTCATGAGGCCGGTGAGCCACGACGGGAACGACCCCCTGAGCCGGTTGTGCCCAAGAAGGAGCTCAAAGATCTGAGACTCCGCGGGTAGAGCTCCGACTTGAGCGAGGCTGTCGAGCCGGTTGTAGGTCAGATCGACCTGCGTGATCCGGGCCCACGAGAGCGGGAAGCCGCCGGTGATCTGGTTGTGACTGGCGTTGATTTGGCGCAGGGTCTGACCGGTGTAAGCGGGAAGCGGTCCAGTGAGGAAGTTGTAGTCGAGGAAGATGTCGTTCGCCGTGTCGAAGTTGGTCGCCGGGTTTTTCTTTATTCCGATCAAGCCCCCGGGAATTGTGCCGGTGAGTCGGTTCTGACCGATATCGATCGAGCAAAACCGGCCATAGCACATGTCGCCGAGCGTAGCGGGGATGGATCCCGAGAGCAGGTTCTTGCGGAGCCGGAAGCCGACCATCGCCGTGAAGTTGCCGAAGGTCGATGGAATCTCGCCGTAGAGGAAATTATTCTCGGCCTCGAAGGTTCCGAGGCTCCGCATGCCGGAGAGTTCAGGGTACAACTTACCGTGAAGGAGATTGTTGCTCAGGCTCAGGTAGGCCAAATTCTTGAGGCTCGAGAACTCCCTCGGAATCGTTCCCGTCAGGCGGTTCTGATGGAGATCCAAAGTTCCGAGCGTCGAAATGTTGCCCAGACTCGGCGGAATTGTGCCGGGAATCTCATTCTCGAAAACCTGGAAAGAGACAAGAGACGACAGCCGGCCCAAAGAGGCTGGTAGCGGTGTGTTGAACCGGTTCCGGTAACCGGAGAGCAGGAACAGGGCGGTCATCCGGTGGATGCAGTCGGGAAAGTTACCCGTGAAAGAGTGCTGCGCGATAATGAGGGCGGTGAGCTTCGTCAAGTTGCAAATCGACGACGGAATCACTCCGGACAGACGTTTGGCTCCCGGCGTGACCTGTCCCCACTTCCCGATCAATTGGAAACTTTCCAGCCGGCTCAGCTGCCCGACCTCGACGGGCATCGATCCCTCCATCTCGCAGTCGAAGAAGCTCAGACTGGTGAGAGTAGCGGGCAGCCGTTTGGGGAAGTACCCGAGCTTCACGTTCCCGAAGGCCAGACCCGTCAACTGCGTGAGGCTGGCCAGCGCGGCTTCCCATTGCCCCCGTTTCGCCGGGTTTGCGACCAGATCCTCGCCCGGGGAGCCCGTACCCGTGAGCCGCAGAGTGACCACTCTCCCGTCGGACTCCCGGCACGTCACGTCCTGCCAGTTGCAGCAATTGCTGCCCAGCCAGCGGAAGAAGTCCCCGGCTCCCGGAGTGTTGTTGAGGAAGGCGTCCCTGAGCTGGACGAGAGCTCGCTGGTCGCCTTCGTTGCATATGGCTCCATAGCAGCTCGATGCAAGAGCTGCAAGGACCATGAATGCCAGAGCCTGCCTCGCGGATCTGGCCGAGCTCATCCTTCGTTGCCCCATTTGTTTGCTCGATTCCAGCAGTCGTGAAGGCGAATCCGGGATGAGAGAATCTGGATTTTTGCGTCTCTGAGTTCAGCCCCGCGAATTCTCGATTCTAGAAGTGCAGACGTATGGTGCGGACGATGACGTGACCAACTGCGGGGGTTAAATCGCCATCGAGAAGTGAGACCGACACTGATGGATAGTAGACAAGTCACATGGCTCGATTCATGTGACAGTGACGATTAATTGAGGAAGAAGCTCAGGTAATCTGACTCTAAGCTGCAAAGCACATTGCTCTGTGACGCGGCCGGTTCCGAGTTACACTTGCAGAATATCCAGCCCCATTGCCTGAACGATATTCAAACTCAAGCACCGAATGTGCCCTGAACTCGACAATATGTGAAAGACGCAGCCGCGAGCCCCATTTATACCTGAGCACAGAAGAGAGATCCAAGTCCGAGAATGAATGCATGGCTCTCCTTGAATCTATCTGCGAGCCCGCTACAAGACGGTGACGCAGCACGAAACGAAGTCATAATGAAACAGTCAGACCAGAAAGATCGGATCCATATTGAACATGCCGGAGTCGTCCCTTTGTTGTGGATAGCTGTACGAACATGGACATGCGGATGTGTCTGCACATCAAACCCGGTCCAGCACGTACGGATGGGAGTACTGATCAGGAATTTATCTCGGAAGAATCATAGAGCGTCAAGGGCAGAGGAACTCTGTGTAATTCTATCTCAAGGAGTGAAATGCGGTGTTTCCGCAAACCACGATCTCATGAACAGTCACTTAATTGGTGTACAGTCAAATTCGTTCCGATTGTGTAACCCTCTATTCCCATAACTCATGGCCAATCTCTACACACTACCCTTTGGGCCAGCGACTCGTCAACCCCAAAGATCATCCTTGCTTTTGGTCGTGCTCTTTATCTACCACGTCAAGTCTAGTCAACGCCGTAGGCTGTCACAAAACCTTACCTGGAAAGGGATTCTGATCATGAGCAGCAAATGATTTGAAACCAGACACACACCGGCCAAAGCAGACACGCACTTCTTGGCCGCATTTTCGCATCAATAAGGGGCAGACGGGTTGCTAGAGACATCTCTAATGCCAAAGTTATTCAGACATGAAGATAGAGTTGATAATATACAGAGTACACTATTGAATATCGTTCAGAATACACGATTAGAGTTGAGACTCTCGTCATGAGAACTATGAAGTCGTGGAGACATGCTAGCTAGAATCGAGATCTAGATTCACGTTTGCAACACATTCTGGAGCTAGGGAGATCTACCCTGAATGTTGCATTTTCATTGTGTACATCGTTTGGCATTATGTACAGTCGGAACATAAATTTTTTTACTTCGCGTTAGCTCTACACAGAGCAGATGTGAAGTGAACAAGCCTCGGCTAATGTCACAGATTGAGCTCGTTGCCATCAGACAATTGGCGTATCCCTGACAACAATACACGCAGATTTTAAAATTTACGTAAACCTCCCCACCCAGACCGAGATCTTGACCGAGTTCTGTGAACCTGCAAAGAAAGCCAGTTCGAGTGGGATTACGAAGAAACTGATAACTTCTTCTTTAGGTCTGAACAGCATTGAACTCATATTCCTACCGTCGAATTGTCAAACGTGTTCGACGTGAGGAATTTTTTCCCTTGAAATCAAATGGTCCAAGTGGATTCCTCGAAAGCCATTTCTTGAATCTCGAGATAATCAAATCGTAATGAGAACGAGAAAAGTAAGAAATAATGTAACTCGAAATCCTAACCTACCTTCTCAGGAGTTGTCCGATATAAGCTCTTCTGGTCTCGGAGAACATCTGTATTGCAGACTTTAGAGAGTGGTTGGGATGATGTTGAAGCATTCGAGCATCCCGCTGCATTGAAAAATCATGTGAGTCCAAAGAATAACTCTAGTTCCCCAGCTGATTTCATCGTATGTAAATCATTTCATTTACACCAACTCAAGAACCAGATTGTGTGACTCTGAAGTGATTCTGAAGAAAACAGGCCTTCACATTAATTCAAAACCAGATAGGAGCAGCCTCAAGTCCGCACTAAGGTCAGGCCTGTTTTCCGGGTTTGCAGTTGCTGTAAGAAACTATTTTATCAGGAGAGGATATAAAATGGAAATATAATCTGATTACATAAAGTTTTGACTTCTTCTGAACCACAAAGAGCTTTGTTTTATTCGCCAAAAGTTCTTAGGGCGCAGTTCGTAAGGTGGATGTCGAACTCGATTGAACAGTGTAGTACTATCCATCTTGCTGCTGTACCTAGACAGTTCCTTACAGAAAGTAACCGGTCAAATCCAACCGTTCAGTTTTCGTTTTGACATCTGAGAGCAAAGGATTAGGTTTTCTACATATTTCCTAATGACGGATGATATAGGTTGCAGGAAACTAAGTACCACGCTTAAAGTAAGCCGGAACCATCATCACTACCTTCAATCATACTGCGAACTCTTCCTTGCCTTGCGTGAGACTTCCATCTCCGTTTCTGGCCCTTACCTGCGAAATAGATCATTTCAAGTGTAAATGCACCAAGTAAGATATTATACGGTGCGAGTGCATCGACGGTCTGATTTAAAGTACAATTGCAATTCAGAATTCATTTATGTGTTTTTTAAGTGAGAGCTTAGCTTTAGTCTCACAGAATGGACATTGAGAGTGATGTCCTTGTCGTTTCGTGAAAGTTAAATTCAATCGCGCCGCGTATAACATGGGTTTCTTATGTACCTGTTTCGCAGCTGGGCATCATATTGGGAACAATGACGGTGCCCGCCTTCAATTCCGCATAGACGTCTGACTCGTCATAACGTTCATTCAATGTCTCATCAATTTTGACTCCTGCTCCGTATCCCGATTCTATGAAGTCTGGTCCACATAACAACACAATGTCATGGAACTGGCCATGTATGCACCCTCAGCTATCAGCACTAATTTCAGAACAGGAGCCAATGAAAGGACTTGTGGACTTCCAAATTCAACATTCAACTGCTTTAGTCCTCAAAACCCTAGTCACCCTTCATACTTCCTTAGCTTTCGTCACTTCCATTTAACACGCCACTAAGAAAAATCTATAATTTGCACCTTTCAAACACGTTCTCACCACCACGTACCCGTTAGCAAATCCATAATTTTTTGTTGGTAAGGATTGAGGATCTCCGGTTTAGAAGCCTCCTCTTGCCCAGATGTTGAATAAAGGCGTTGGGCATGAGCTTTTCCTTTGCGGCGAATGTCAGCAATCTTCGAAGTATCAACATCATTTTCCGCCTTCCTCTTTTCTGCTGCTCGATTGTCGGGACAAATAATCGTAGTTCCATAAAGGTCCCCATGACTTGAAGCAGTCTCTGGAAGTCCGTTGAGCTCTGAGGCAATATCGGTTTCTTCTTTGCTGGCGGACACTTCGGAATCCATTTTGGCATCGGAAATGGAGGAAAGTGTTGGCGCTTCTGAATATTCAACTTGAAGTTCCAGTTTGGGATCATTGTCAACTTTGACTTTGATCGCAAGATCAGAATTACAACCAGAGAGAACTGTAAATATGCTCCGCCTGGAAATGTCGAAGTCTCTTCCTATACTTTCGTCGATGCTCTTAATGTTTCCATGACAAGATGTCAAATCCGTCTTATATTTTTCATAATCTGCCTCGGCATGACAGTCGGAAACAGAAGACCTGTTCATGGGCGTAAAGAAACTTGAAGTAAATGCTGGTACATGTGTGGACTTTGGTGTAGGCTCCCCAATTGAGGGATCTTCCTCGCAGGTTTCTTTCTCTTTTCCCTCTATCTCAAAGGATCCAGCTGCTGCTGCATGAGAGGAAGAAATATGATCGGTTGCAAGCAATTCAACATGTCGTGAGTAGCTTGCTTCCCCTTCAGCCTTACAATCATCATCGGAACTCTTCGAATCTTTTCCAGCAGGCAGGTACTTTTTATCATTAGAGTATCGGCTGGAATTGATAGTAATGCCAGATCCAGAACCAGAGAAAGATAGCTTGACATCATCAAGGGACGTCAAGTGAGAATCTAGTGACGAATTATGGAATTCAACCTGTTTCACAGCATGCGAGGACAAAGACATATCGCAAAGGTTTTCATCTATCCCGACTATCTTGTTAGATGCACTGTCAACGCTGACTGCTGCATGAGAAATTGATTTCTCTCGATCGTTAAGAACTTCAGCATTAGCTTCTCCGGATGTGGTTGCACATAAACCGTCCTCTATCTCACCAGGACCAAGGGAAGGAAATTGACCTGAGGAATCAGCTTCAGTACAAGTATGAACTTCTGGTGGGAGAATCCCGTGGTTTTCCTCCTTCCTGTCGCCTGCGCCGATGACAACCTTTGCAATTTCATGAGAGTCAGCGTTGATGCTCTCTTCAGGACTGTCAGTATTGCATCTTTCAGCATCAGTGACAGTGACCGGAGTTTGACGAGAGGTAGGAGTGTTCTCTCGTGGGCGCTCTGCCTTGCCCATCTCAGTCAACCTGCTGTGAACTTGGGAACCCGTGTAAATTGTAGAGGAACCTCCACTTCCAAGGACATCGACTTCTGTACAAGTGTATCGGCTGCCTTCGATGGAGTCCGCAACGCGCAATGCATTATGAGAATTAGGGATTGAGTATTTGTCCACGGGTGAATTTTGCATGAGGGTCCTCTCATGAAGAAAGGCAGGTTTTTCATCCTTCACATGACCCGCAGGCGATTCCTTTGGACAGTCATCATCAGCACAAACAACGCCATCTTCCAACTTTTCGACTGCATTGTCCCCAACCATATGGCCCTTTGGAGGATGTAAGTCGCTCGCCGTGAAATCTCTACGCACATCCGCAGAAGACTGTTCCCATGCAATATCTTCTCTTTCTGAGCCTGTTGGAGTACCTTCTGCATTAGCTTGAGGGTCCATATTGTTGAAGATCATTATAGCTTCATTCAATTTTTTCTCCACAGTCTTGCGCGCTCGTTTTTTACGAGCGCCCGAAAGGGTCTTCAAATTTCCATTTTCCGTCTTGGGAACATCGGTCATGCTTTCTTCCTTCTTGGAACTCATAGATAGGGTTTCATCTGCCAGAAAGTGAATCAGTATAAGATGCTCAACATTTCATCTATCTTAAATTAGGGCAATTCCCAAAACGTATGATTTCAAATTGTCACTTCAAGAAACGAATATGTCGGGGCTAAGACGATAAAACAACATAAACAGATGAAGCACGCTACAAGAGATGACCAATTGACAACAAGTTTACCTAGCAACGGAAATTGAAATGGATAAAATGAGGCAATCTCTTCTCTCTTCCTATCACAAGATGTGATAACAATTGAAAGAAGATGGAACTATTTGAGCAATCTATTCACCCGATAATGCTTTCTGATTCCACCTGGTGCCAAATTTGAATGTATACTACTATATCGCGAATCGAATCTGTTGTACATTGTCTGTCACCTTCAAGAAATGAATCTCTCATATGGTTGCACGGGCTACACGAATTACTCATGTAATGCGTACGCACACCATTGATAACTAATGAACTTATGACGCTGCGATCCATGACACGTAACGATTGCGTCATGATATCCTGTTGCTAACCAGGATGACCAAACTCATGCTTTTTTTTTCACGGTTTTATTTATTCTAGGTCAGAATTAGACAATTTAAATAGAAGAGCAGAGTCTCTTTGAAGAAATATATTTAGATACGATGACGAATGAGTTGAATGCCCATGGGATCCATAAGAGGACCAAAGGATCAACACAGGCACAGAAAGCCATTTCTCGCTCACCATAATCAACCAATCATTTGCTTGGAGTCAGGAAAAAGCAGCATTGCAATATGTCTTGAAAAGACCTTAGAATGGAGGGATGAAAATGCATCTAAATAAATATTGCTCTTCGTAGACAATCTCGGAAAGCCAAACTCGAATGAAAACTGCACTAGCCCACCTTTACGAGCAAGTAGCCGACCTCTCTTTCCAAATTTTGATTGTTTCCCACATCGATCCTGTGATAAAGGCATTTTTGGAAAATTAGAACCTTTAGTGACACTTACATTTGAAAACCAATGATATCAGCAATGAAGAGCCCAGCATAAGTCGGACAGAAACCTCCCACAAACACCACATTCAAAGTCTGCATTTAAGAGCTAGATCTCAAGCTGATAAAATGTACTTGAGAGCACTAATGCATTTGGAAAATGTTGTAACAGGAAAGATGCTAACAGTGAGAAAGAATTAATTTTCATCAATCTACATCGAAGAACTGAGTTTCAATCTACATCAAGGTTTGTTTTATCCACATGTTTAAAGGTCCAAAACAGATAGATGTGAATTAGCCAATAATCCCTTACCATAAGTGTACTGCCTCTAATGAGGTATGGTGGCACGCACTCCTCATCTAAAGTACGAGAAGAATCAACATTTAGTATCAACTCTTGTATTTAATACCCAAGAATAAGAAAGGCGCATCGAATTCCATCAGCCTATAATCTGATGATCACCTTTCCAAGTTTCGGTATGTGTGACATTTGAGTATCCTCTAAGACTTTGTTTGTACTCCACCGAAGATCGAACCGGATCTGATAAAGGAATTTCTGCAATCATCTTCCTGAAACAAGAGACAAACTATTTTAACATCAAAACAAAGGTCACCGTAATGTTCCAAGAAAATAAGTGGAAAGAGTATGAGAAATCAGGTCAACCTCCTCCTTACCCATTTTCACCTTGAACATGCCCGTGAGTTCTGATAGAAGAGACTTGTAGCGGAGCTGACTGCATTACACTATACATTGGAATGGGGCAAAGTTCCCGATTGGAACATGTTGAGGGAGCAAATGCAGCATGAATATTGAATGCCGTAGTTGCTGGGACTTCTTTATAATTACAATTCATGGACGTAGGCATAACAAGGCCTCGTTCACACATATCTGAATACTCAATGTAGATTCGAGGATCAGTGCTTCCCCATACATTGTAGACTCGAGGATCATATGTATATTCCATATCACCTGTAGTATGAGCTGCCGACAATATTTGCACATTTGGATATCCGACGAGTGGAGCGCGCATTTGCAAAGGTTCAACAAATGACCTGCTATCATATTGAAGTTCTGAAAAAGAACTGTTGATGGATCCAGAATCTACAGGAGACTCGAGCTCCAAAGACTGATAATATGGACTTGTGTCCATCATCAAATCTCGGGAAGGTGGATGTAGTGTGGAAGCTAATAGAGGCAGAGATGGCAATTTTGCAATGTCATGATCGAATATGACTGAATCACGTGACAGTATGTCACATGATTGATGACTATCAAGCCGGTCTTTTAGTTGCATCTGTTGAGGTAAAAACGGAGTCAAATGTGATGCTGCCAAATTAGAATCCAACTGAAGGTCCTGTCCAAAGGCATCGTAGGAAGCTTCATCATAGTATTGACATGACAGCAATGGGTCCAGCTGCAGTTCTACGTCAGGATCATGAAAGACAGTATAGCTCGGAACGCTCTCAGCTGCATCGAAGGTTGTATTGAAGTCCGTCAAGCCGAATAAACTGTCATTCTCTTTCTCGAACAATTGCTCGTACAAAAGTCCAGATGCATCCAACGGAACAAACATTTCATTTTTCTCCATTGAAATCCCAGACTGATGACACAAAGGTGGCAGCAGCATGGATTCCATGCTGTGTCTGGACTGTATTCATCGAAGAAGCGCATTTAAAGTGTCACCTAGCAGGCAGGATCGAAACCTTGCCAGACAAACACAATGGGCACTTGTTCCATAGAACGAGCGAATCTGCACTGTAGGCCTCATACTGGAAACGAGACACTACCCGCTCAGTACCTTTCTAATGTCTCTCAATCTGAAGAATTCTGTCTTATGGAAGTTTTACGAATAAATTGGATTTCAAAAGTTGAACCATTGAGTCAAGCTCACAAGTCAGATTGTCCTGCACACAAATGGCTTCTCCTAGGATTAAATTCTGACACCGTCCTACACGAGAGAAAACCTGAGTACCGCTCTGTACATGAGAGAAAAAGATTAATATTTATATTTATATTTATAGACCTGATTTAAAGTAAATTACCACCAATGCTTACAGGTCATTACAGGTCCCGATTGGAATTCTACATAGTGGAATTCAATCGGGATTATGCAAGATTTGGATTAGGGGGAAAGGAAAAAAGAAAATACTAATTTCATTGGAAAGTGTGACATCAGATGGGACAATAAAGTGTGACAAAGGTACGTGGACCTATTCCAGCCAACTTGACCGAATGAAGATTATGCTCCTGGTTAGCTCATTCTTACGTGCGAATAATAGAAGCCCGTCGTTTCCGTTAAAGGGCCATGTGGCCTCCATGGTACGGGAAACTGACTCAGAGTCAAGGGTCGCATCGGTCAAAAGGAAGGAACGTAGAACGAACGTCCATCGAGACTAGGTGCTGAACGTTCGTTCTACGTTGCCTAGCTGGAGCCTAACTCGCCGTACAGGAGGAACACTTGCACAACTTTAGTTCCCCAAGGATGGAGCTCTTCGCAGTTTTCTCTCCAACCGAGTTTCCAAGCTTTCTTGGCCTCAAGTGCACTGGATCTGGTAAACTATATCCTCCAATGTGAATGTATGAAGATCTTGCCACAAGTATCTTAGGTGCTGTCCGTATTTGTCAAACGCCCAACTTTGACCCCCATTTTTTTTATCTACACGTAATTTCTGCAGCTAGAGAAGGTCTTATGGTCTGTTCTAGGCCTAGCTCGGAGCAAAGCATTTTCAAACTGGGACCATCTGAAAAAAAAAAATATAAGAACGCTATGTACATCAGATCTGCAACTGTACGACGAGATCATTCGAATTTAGGCACCAAAAGCATGTAAGAACATTCTTCGTATAAAAATTATCCAACAAAATCTTCTTTTTGTTTAATAGACAGAGAATATCTCGGCGGTTAATTCTACTTGATATACGGACGTATACTTGAATTCCAGGCCGAACCAAAGAATTGAGTAGAAGCATACATACTCGATTATAGTTATTAGTAGTTCTGAAGAAATTCTGGTGATCAGGATTAATATAGATCCAAACAGATAACAATTTTTGCCCAGATTTTACTGCACGGTTCATATGTATCTTCTAATATTTTCAAAGCTAAAATTTTTCATATTTTAATACCAACACATTATTTAATATTAGTATAATTTTGCTCGCAGTTTAGATTAATTTATCATCATCGTTATGTTCTTATTAATTGCTTTTGCCTGCAGTTTAGATTGATTTATCGTCATCGATTATTCTTAATTTTAGTCAAGTGTTTATGCCCCCAAGTTGGAGACTAGTAATATTCCTACTCTTTCTAACCACTTGTCAATAGTATTCCAAATGCAGAAGACCCAACGTTCATACGGGTAGCATCTATTCGGCGTGCAATATTCCGACAACATGGAAGCAGTCAACGAAGTTCAAAACTGCACACGATGTTCAAACTTCATCCAAGAATCCCAAATGCTCTCCTGCCTTCGGATCGCATATGACAAGCTCCTGCCGACAGTTTATTAGCTGGCATCCCTATCTTCTGCCGTTACTCGGGCGTTCAAAATGGCTCGATTCTTAGAACTTTAACCGAATGTCTGACGAGCTCGTTCTCCTACATCTATTCGAGTTTCAAGTTTATGCCCGCGGCCACCCTCAAATATCCGGCCGCCTATGTAACTGTCCGAAACTTGTTCTTTAACCTCTGCTGCTGACGTAGACAAGGAAGCCAGTCTGCGCCAAAATTTGAACTTTTTTTCCGAAGAGAGAGAACACTTTTGAATTAGAAATAGCGCCGGATTAGTTCTTCAGTTGGTGCTTTTGAATCGAGAGCATTATCAAAAACCCAAACGACGAGGTACCAGTTCCTTCTCTCTTAGAACACATCGTCGTCACTGACAAGTTCTTACGGCTGCACATGACTCCAGTTCAATCAGGTTTCATTTTAGCGTGAAGTGAATAATTATGAAGCATAATTTCCTACTTTGAACACCGTTTTACTCATTGAGATGAAGCCTCACGCACAAATGCAAATTAGAATTCGGAAACCAATTTCGATTCCGCTCAGTTTATTCAGAATTCGGAATTTCCTCCGCCTTCGGGTATGTCCGAAGTATGATGTTTCAAGGTGGAATCTAGCGCCCACCATCAGCGATGATCTGAGGCTAAAATATTTTCGATATGAACATTTTCTATGTTTGAGTTATGGATGATTTAGGAGTGCGTTTCTATTTCTCCTACCGAAAAATTGTGTATGTTCTGATTTGGTCTACGGAGATGAATACCCAGAATTGCTGGACAGGTCTGTCCGGGAGCAGATTAGGGAAGCTTCATAAATTTATGCTGGCGCTGAAATGACGGAGCAAAAGCAAGTTTCTCGTGAAAACTTTCTGCAAACCATTTAATACTTCGCCTGTGGCGATCTAGTCTTTCCATGTCTTCGGGTGTGGCGAGATAGCCATACAGGATTCTCTCCCCTCGCGGAGAGACTAAGTCGTCAGTGCTCCATTCTGCAACTGTGTTCATATGATTCTTATGGCTCTTAAGAAGGGGTTTCACTCTAGCCCAATCCATTCTGCCCTTCGACATCTTTGACAAAAGTCGATCCAGAGCTTTAGCCTCCAGATAGCCCTCGTTGGATTTGGCGAAGATAACAAGCGCGCAACCCTTTTGACCTTTAACGTCAAACAAGCATTTCACTTTCACGAATGTACTTTTCTGGTCGCTCAATTTTCTCACGAACCTTCTAATGTCTTCGTGACCCAATCCATTCCATTTCCTTTTATCATTATCCCATCCCAGTCTAGTGTTCTCCAGTATCACGATCGGTGGCCACACAATGATTTTGTCACCAACAGAAGAATCTCCGGTCTTCGTTTCACCTTTATGGCTTGCACAATCCTCGGCGGTCTGGATCCGAGCATCTGTTCTTTTCACGTACACTAGTTTGGTGATCTCTGAATTCTCGTCATCATCGACGTTTTTCTTACTGAAGCTTACTAATGGAACCCAGCTGCTGCAAGAGCTTGTCATCTGGATTGCACTATAGATACAGTTACCACCTTGTCAACGATATGGTTTGGGTAGACGCCGAGCACAATTCAAGCGCAATCACTACATGAAATTGAAAAAACACTTGCTGTGCAGACGATATCTGCTACAATCTGCACAAGAAGAAAAACAGGGAATTAGAAAAATGAACCGTAAAAAATGTAGAACGCAATCCAACAGAACTCTGCAAATGTGCGTACAAAAGCTTAGTGCATTTTCAGGACACATAAGCTCAACATGTCGAAAAACTGCTTCAAAAGTAACTGACATGAACATCTCCATTCAAGAAGAAAATTAGTTGATGTTAACAATCCTGTCCGCATCAAGCTGACAATTCAAAGGCCACCTTGATCTAGCTGAAAGTTCTCACCAGATTTCAATCCACTGCACCCTTGAGTATAAACAACTATCCGCTACGTAGCTCAAGAATTCTGGTCTCAATCGGGTGAGCGAGGCGACGAGTCACGTTACCAAACGCTTGTTATTTCACTTACGAATCTGAAATTTTATGGCTAGACTTCCGTAATTACAGCTATGAGTAGTAACGTATGTACCGGCTCTGTCAACCACCAGAGCGGTTTTCGAGGTCACTTATAATTGACCATAGACACGCATGATTGATTTATAAATGGTCTCTGGGCAATGAACTGATATTGGACTGATGAGTAGTTGTAAGTGGATAAGTTAGAAAGCAAATATCGGCGAGACCTGATCGCGCTCGATTCAAATGATACATCGTAATGTACCATTTTTTTCAAACGTGCACTGTAAAAATATGATTTTTCGCAGCCAAAAATAGACATATTAATTTTCACAAAAAAAACACACCTAATTTCAAATATTTTGTACTAGAAAAATATAAAATGTGTGTTAACGTTACTAAGGCTTTATTTCTTTGTGATTTTTAGATCCCTATTATTTAGAGTTCATGCTATCTATAGTCAAAAAGTTCTGATTAAACCAAAAAATCATTTAGTTTGATACTTGAAAGTAAAATATTAATTTGAATCTAAAATTGTGAATTTCAATTGGTTCAAGCGGCTGACTTTTTTAAAAGATTTTTCAGCTCCTAGATTCATAAATGTTCCTCAGTATAGAACTGAAACTGTGTAAGAAGATGCCAACATTTTATCAAATTTATTTAAAGCTTTTTTTGTAGAAACTAACATAGAATTTTAAAATATGACTTTTAATCTAGAGTTCATGAAAAGATAATATAACGTTAGACAAAATATCTTGATGGTATGATATATATGATTTTTAACATATTCTTAATATGACTTAATAAATAATAAATAATGGCATATATATTATGAATAGAATGCATGAAATCATTTTGCAGCATGATACATATTGCATTAATGAAACAAAATGTTGAGCAATATTACAATAATATATCATTCAATTTATAGAAATAGCAATTCATTCTATATCATTCAAAAAAATTCACTACAATTTTTCAAAAAATCTAGATTTTATAAAATTATTTCATTTTTGCATCCACTCTTACCATTTTAATTCCACACAAGTCATATCATTTTAGAAAAACTAATCTATCAGGTTGCATCAAAAGTTAGACAGTGAAGGAAAGATCTTGATACAATTTAATTAATCTTTTGTGAAAAATCTTTTCTCATATTTCATGTAAAACCAAGTATGTTATGTTGGGTTAGGATGTGCAAAATAACTTTCAGTTTATAAAGTCACAACTTAAGACTTGTTGTATATAATGAAAAATACTTCGTAAATTTATCACAAGAAATTGTGTTTTTGAAACATGAATATTATCAAAAATTTCGTTGAATAATTACAGTAATATAGAATTTAAATTAAAATCATAATTCCTCTATTTCATAAAATAAAATTTATGATATAAAAATAATTTTTTTTATTTACTTTATTATCCTTTAATTCCCATATGAATTTGATGGAAGACTCAATATGTACATAGTATATAGCTAGTGGTTGTTTTATTCTCCATTGATCAACGGGCAATGCAATAGGTCAACAATCAAATGTACAATTCATAAATTAGAAAGAAATGATGTAAAAGTCTATAAAAACAGTTCATTAACATTCATTAGATTATCTTCACCAATGTAAAATTACATAAGTGATGTCAAAAAGTCTATCTAACCAAGGGGCTCACTACATCTAGCAATCAATTTTTAGATTCCAGACTTGCCAGAATTTGAAGAGCTCCGGCACAATGCCATAGTTGCAAAGCATTTGGACGCTCAAAGGGTAATTCAATGAAGTGAGGACGGAATTAGAGTAAGAGATTTCGATGAGGACCTTTGTGAAAAATGTGCGTGGTCCCGAGACAGAGCACGCGATTTAGGTTCGGACAAATCGGAATTGAAAATGCATAGGGAAATTGAGTAAAAAAAGGTAATGTGATCGGACATCGTGAGGGGGTCCGGGCAGCACGGGAATTCAAAGAAAGACTACTGTCGCACCAATCTCACAAGCATTTTCTTTATTCATGTCTAGTAATTCGAAACGTTAAAAACGAATATCTCCAAATCATAGGACGAAAAATAGTTGAATAAAATTGTTCATTTTAAAAATACGATTATTTGATTGATTCCTATCCTTATAAGAAATGTTTATATTTCATCTACCAATTCATCTTTGTTTATGCAACTTACTATCAATTAATATTGATTTTAGTTCATTTTGACACCCGGGACTAGAATTGGAAAGATTGAAAAACGACGGAGTTGATTTCACTCCTATCAAAACACATTTTTAAAGTTCAAATGCCAGAAATAATATGAAAAATTTGTCAACCCTAAATTAATTTTCGACACCTGCCACTTACCAGAATTTATGAGACATTATCTATCCTGTTCCAAGAAGTCTTCATTATGACAGGAATTAATTCTAACAGGTTTGGAAAGTTATCTTCTATGATAAAATCATCATCAGAGTTCTTAGTTTCAGGATTTGAAACTATGTTGCTCAAGAACCACGACAGCGTATTTGCTAAGTTACAAATTACAATTTCCAAATCTCAATGAAGTTTTGACCATCCAGTTTTTCTTTCACATGCAAGTATGTTAGACATATCGGGGGAAACATCGTCAAACCCTTTCTGTATCTTTGACATTGCTAAACAGGAATAAACAGGGTTTTGTGTTGTGTGTTGAACCATGAACCAAAGCTGGTTGACACAATTTGCCTAGTCGCGAATCGGATTCTTATTCTCCACATCCTCGTGCCTCCCAATCACTACGAGTCGGATATCGTGATTAATTCCTGGCCGCAGTGTATCGATAATTCGGAGATCCGATTCCCAGTAAGCAACCGTGCCTATTTCCAAAAATAAATACTTGATCACTGTCACAACTTACAAGACAAGGATGACAGCGTCTAAACGCAGAACACCGAATACGGATTTACAAGGTGAAAGACTCGCTACATTGTTTCGGTAGAGTTGAATGAAAGCTGTGCAGCGATTCCACCAATCCAGGATATTTAACAACTACACATTCTTCGTCATCAACTGAGCGTTCTTCAACTGCATTATCCAGGCCAGATGCAAACGTGATGATGGCCTTTTCACAATGGAACTAAAAATAGAGCAGCGATGCCTCTGTTCATGTATGAAATGGGGTAATCATCACATCTGCTTTGGAATAAAGAGACCAACGATGCTAACTGTTTCCCAAAAATCAAAAAAATTCTGAACCTTACTTTTTGAACCCACAATTCTGAAACAACATCAGGTCGGTAGAAAGGGATATCAGATTACAATGTTCCTTCAAAGTGAAAAAAAAAAAAAGGCTAATTTGATGAAATTACAGCATATTCCTCTGAACAGGCTCCTGTTTACTATGGAGGGAAAAGTGCTTCACAAATATCACGAATCTCAAGAGTAAAGGAAGCACCATTTGCATTCCATATATACACCGAAACATGGCGCCATGATTATGGCCATCTCCGGCTTGTGCCCAACCTACTTCAATATTGAGGTCCGCAACCGGAAGGCTCAACCAAGGCTAACTCAAAACGATTCACCATATCTCGGACACCCAGTCAAAGCAACCAACTTTCTGTACTTTGCTTCTACAGAACGAGACACTCGTGGAGTCAAAGGTGAAACAGAGCTTTTCCCAACACTTCAAGCACGGAAGCAGAATGCAGGTGTTGGCCTCAATAATACATAACCAAGCGCTGGTGACACGCATCCATAAGATCCAACTGATGAAGATAAGAATGTAATGTCCGTTAATTGTCGCATTTTACACCTTCTTGATAATTTGAACAACATCTTCATCCTCTAATTGATGCTCCCTGCCTACTCTTTGGGGTTTGTGCTTGGCACTGGAACCCCAAACCAACGCAAACTTAAACTGCTTCACCATATCTTTGTGAATTCGTTGACAGAAGTCGTCGACTGTACATTTCTTCGCTGACAATATGACAGGATCCTCGTAGTCGGGGCTCATTCCTCGGGGTTTGGTGTAAACACGAATCAAGTCCAGATATTCCCAAATCTTTTCCAACAATCCGTCGAGATTCCATTCCAAGTGAGCACTTACAGGGCAATAATGTGGCAACTTGTCGAGAATCTCCAACTCTTCCATGGTGACTTGATCTATTTTGTTGATGACATAAATGCAAGGCATGTAAATTCGGTTTCCTTCGATGACATCGATCAGATCATCAGCCGTTGCATCAAACCGCAGTGAAATGTCAGCATTATGTATTTTATACTCTCCGCAGATGGCCTTGACAGTTTCGAGATCTAAATGCGTGTTCGACACCGTGGACGTAAAATTAATTCCTCCTTTGTCCTTCCTCCTAAAAGTCATATTCGGGGGTTCCGAATTCAACCTGATTCCAAAACCCTCCAACTCCTTCTCGATCAATCGCTTGTGCGTTATAGGCTTGATGGCATCCAGGACGATAAGAATACAATTGCAAGTTCGAGCAGTAGAAATGACCTGACGTCCACGACCCTTTCCATCCTTAGCTCCTTCGATAATACCCGGAAGATCCAGAAGCTGAACTTTGGCACCCCTATATCTAATCACCCCAGGAACGCAAGTCAGAGTTGTAAACTCGTACGATGCTACCTCCGAGAATGTGCCCGTCAGTTTATTCAAAAGAGTCGACTTTCCGACGGAGGGAAATCCCACCAGACCGACTCGCGAGTCACCGCTCTTGGTCACATCGAATCCTTCTCCCGCTCCTCCAGCGCCTTTCGATGACGACGGGGCAAGAATCTCCCTTCGCAGCTTCGCGAGCTTAGCCTTCAAGAGCCCCAGATGATGCGCGGTGGCCTTATTCTTTTGCGTCCTAGCCATCTCATCTTCGATATCTTTGATTTTCATCAAAACGGTCGCCATGGCTGCAGCCTCGTGGAGCCCCTCTCTGTGTCACGTGAAAAATTTCCCACCTGTCGTCTACCTCCTCCTAAGATTTGAACCCTCGAAAGCCCGACTCACAACGACTCTTACGAATGTCACCCGAAGCTCCTTCCTTGCCCCCCACCTATTCCACCGCAATCTGAATCCCCAATCTCGACGCCGAGCTTCCTCTCGTCCCCTGCTCCCGATGCCCTACTTTCAACCGTCCGCACGAATGACCTCCTCGTACGACGCGGATTATGGACGCACAACTCGCCCTTCGACCCCTCCGCAGCAGGTGCAACAAATATCAGGCATGCACAAATCGCGACACCTTTGACAAGCGCAGAGGTGAAAGTGCTTTGTTCTCGATCCCTCCGTCTTGCACCGGGAATAAAAAACAGGAAAGAGATAACCAACAGAGAAAGTACTCAATCCCTAATCCTTCGAAAACATGCCCGAATCTTGAACCTCTGTCCGATGCACTCAAGCCAGGCTCATGTGTGCGACCCAGCGAAAGCACGAGCGATCGGATTCCACGGGGTAAATGCCCTGCGTTCAGCAATCCCTACTCTACTTCCGAAAACTCTGCCCCACCCTCACCGCGCGGAGTGTCCAAAACCCTTCTCTCCCGTCCCGACGCGTGCAGTAGGGTTTCACCCTTGACAGAAAATTTTCAGGCCAGTCTCTCCGTCCTGGGACTTCCTTCCAAACGAAGACTAATACCTCCCAAAGGTCTCAGACCAAAAGGTTTGACCGCGTGCGATGCTGGTGCTGCAGCCTAATTGGGGGCTTCAATTGCGAGTTTTCTTCGTATTTGTAGGATTCAGGTAAATGAAATTATATCCCAATAGTTCCTGATGAGTTGAGGTTTTGAATCAGGTCTCTCTGGGCGAAACCAAGAGATCTCCCTATTTACAGGAAGTGTTGATGAAGTTCCTATCCTTACTATGGTGCGCAGAGACCAAAGTCTTAGACCCGAGATCTTTATCCGATGGTACTCTTGGTCGAAGGTTCTATTATGAACACCCTATTCCACGGTACCGGATATCCCCTTGGACCCCTTCCGACTCCACGGTTCCGGTAACAGAATCCAGATTCCTTCACACAAAACGTTCAGTACTTCCAAGTCTGGAAGTTACTGACGACAAAATAGAGAGCCGCAGTAAACAGCTAACGCTAGGTGAAGTGTTAACAGACCCAGAGAACACTTTTTCGGTAATGTGGAGAAGAATACTGAATGCCGAAATGCGAAGCCAGAGTTAATGCGTATGGCTTGACAATGTGGTGTGGTTAAGCTGCAAAATGGTGACTCGGACTTCAAAGATCATGGCAACTTCTTATTTTCATATCAGAACCTAGTCGTATCCACAAATGATCAGAGAAGCGAGTATACAGCAGACTAGAGAAAAAGCATCAGGCAAGGCCAGTGAGGGTAAGAACCCGGAGCCTGAACTGTAAGTCATGTGTCAAACTACAAAGATGAAACACGGATGAAATGAGATGCTGAAACGTTAGTAGCTTAGACATACTCATCATGAGAAGGTCGCAAGAGAGTGAAAAGAAGACTATTTTCATGAGCAGCAAGTCTGTCAAGAAACTGAAATATAGCATTATCAAGTTCCTCCATGAACCTATTTGCGAAAGAGACTAATCTCATAGTGCGTATAGCAGTCCATGAACTTTCAACTACAACAAAATGGTGAGCATATGATCTAAGATTTGTCGACCAGCGTCTGAGGTAAAGCCTAGGACTAAATACTTTGGTAACGAGTATGAACAAAATGACCACCAAAGATTGGTTAATTGAGAACAGAGCTTCCTCATATCTAAAAACAGTGGAAAGGCACTGGAAAAGAGATTCTCGTATAAACATGGCTCCTTCCGAGTATTGAAAAAGGAAGGTAGAAACTGACCAGCTGACCGTTATCTAAAACTACCTCTTTGACGCACTATATTTGAGCTGGGTCTTCAGACTATTAGCTACAAACTGATCAAGGATTGATCTGAAAAAACGAAAAAAATTTAGAGGAGCCGAGAGACATCTGCATTATGACTAAATAACCATCACAGTCGAGTCTATAATTACAAATGTTGATGTCCTGCTGTCCTTGTTCAAGTTGAGGGGTTTTAGGTGGTTGCCCATAACCTATGCACATATAGGAACAAATCACATTTTCTCTGCCATCTTTCTGAATGCACCAGCTATCTGTCCAAGCACTCCTACAAATTTATCTGCTCGCTCCTCTTCTCTCTCCACCTTCCTTTGCTGAAACTCAAATTTTCTCTTTTCCAGCTCGTGAGCATCTTTCGCCATCTCATGTGCCTCTTTTGCTCTTTCAGAGTTCTCCTTCTCAATACGCATTATACCAGCAGACATCTCTTGGAATGCAGCCACAACTCCAGCTAAAGCAGACGATGAGGCTCTTTTCCTCTTGCGTGCAGTAGACACATGCTCTCTGTCACCTCCCCTTGATGGTGCTTGTTCATTTTCCTCTTCTGCAGCACTGTCCTTCCCCATTTCGCCGGCACTGGGTGAATTCCTCATGGAACCGTCAACAGGTATGTTCCCTTGGTATGAATCAAGCAGTTCTTCCGCCTCGATGTCAAACGATGAAGCCAGATTTGCAGTTCTTTTCGGTTGTGGTGTTAGTGATGAAAACGTGCCCGACTTTCTGTTCCACTCTTTCACAAATTGGTACTCTGTCATCTTAATCTTCAGCCTGTTTGACAAAGAGATACAGTTGTGACTCAGATGAGCTGGAAAATGAAGTCCTGATAACAGACGTTAGACCAGGAGTCTATTATCCATTATGAACTAGAGAACAGTAAAACTTACACCGGCATGCAAGTTCAGATTAGACAGAATAGGACTGAACATGTCTCATATAATGGCTTGATGTATAAACTTTTACAGATCATAAATATTATTCGTCCTAGCAGACAGCTTATTATGTAGCAAATGAGCCCAAAGTAGAATGCAGGAAGTAAATACATCTATCCATCCATATATTTGAGGTTAAGTGAAAATATAGGGTTTACTGTACAAACTTGTATTTTTCTATCAAACCTTTCCATCTTCACGTCGAAGCTTTTTCGTCTCTTTTGCACAGAAGAAATGAGGATTTGAAAATTATACATTGCTGGTGAAGTTATCAGACCATGTGTGAGTAGAAGATGTTCACAGTGAGAAATGTACGTGTATATACTTCAGAAATTAAATTCATGTATCGTCCAAGGACATCAAATGAAACAGATTAAACCATCATCATGTCGAAAAATCTCCTCGTCACGAATAATAATAGAACAATATAGAAGCCAGGGCAAACTCGGGACAAGCTCTTTGTTAGTTCTTTCAGCGCCTTACTATATATCTCCCTTCTAGGACAACAGGGCGAAAAAAATAATTCCCACATCAGGTTGCTTTCTTTCTTCGCGCATATGCATAAAGTGAAAGAGAAGATGCGAGGAGAGAACAGTATACTGATTTTAGATCTTGAAAACTCTTATCTGTTCTACAATTTCGCACGCTATATTCAACTCCGGATGAATCATTGGCTTGGAAGCAATTATCATCTGAGACTTCCCATAAATTGAAATAAAAGATTTTGCTAAGATCTTAAAACACAAATCTCGACTGTCTCAGAAATCACAGTAGGGAACAAGGGCAGGAGAAAAGATGTCGAGCATACTTTGATCGACCCTCAGCGTCATTTGACGACGCGTAAATAATACAAGAGAGAACCATCAACGACGGCCCAGTGCCACAATCACTTGACCGGAAAGTCGAACTTGAGGCTAGAAGTATGATACAGAATAGAAACATGTATCTTCACACATCTTTACAATACTCCAAGATTACAGAAGACAATCTTGATAAGAAGACCTCCATGGGCAGGGTGGGCAGCTTACCAAACCCTGGGACGATCATCTGGATGTTGTTCGTGAAACAGAAGCGGAATCGTAGTCCCTTGCACCGACCCGCGAGTCTAAAGCACGAGGCCTCCAGTTTCAACGCAATATGTTACGCGACCTGCTCCTCGTCTCGTGACGACCGAAAGTGAGCACAATGCATAGAAACTGGAGAGAGGCTGCGCTTCCCCACGTGCCTTCGGATTTCCAAGAAAGCTAACTAGCCCGCTCGCTCACTGGCCTTTCACCAGCCTGCGGGCGCCCGACAGACTCCAACACTCTCAGCTCGTGGTGGAGAACGTCGACAATCAAGAAATGATCGACCGTGCCTCATGCACGACGCTGTGCCATGAGCTCTCACTGAATAAGAAAGCTCCTCCAAATCTGAAAGATTCGAGTCAGGGGTTCTTGCATCGATGTGCTGACTCGGTCGGCTTTCTCAACTCAGGTGACACCTCCTTCTTCGTCCACCACCTTCTCCAAGTCCATCAATCGAGGATCTCAAATACATTTTATACAGAGTCAAATTTAATCTTTATCACACCTTCTCGCGACAACTCATGGATCTCGCCGGGGCTAAATCCTCTGTTGTGGAAATCGCAGTCCAATTTTTGAATACCGATCTACTGGTCTTCGAAAATTTTACCGATTTCCAGGTACTGCATTTGAAGCTGTAGCTCCCGCCACCCTATTTCAAAAGAGTTTGTAACAGGGTTGAGATCAACTTCAAGCGTTCAAACGAGGCAAACACATGTGTGCAAATATATATTTTTATACCGAAACGGTTTTTCATTTAAGTTTAATTAGATTATAATTGTATATAACGGATCACGGCCCAACTTTAGAACATCTTTGGATTTTTTATGAATTGAACTCGCCGTTATTATATTAGGAAGCCCTTAGCTAAATTTCTCGTACTTAGAGGAACAAAGTCCATATAGGCAGAGTGGTATGTATTATTGACTCTAAATTCTCATGAGCAGAAGTGAACACTTGAGGAAGATGTCGATGGTTTGTCAAGAATGAGCCATTTCGACTAAGTTCCAGATCATTAATGACTACCGTAATTAAGTGATGCAACGATTTACCTTAAAAAGATACTACATGTAATCTTCAATTTCGTTGTTCAAAATAAGTGAAACTTAGTATCAGATAGGAATTATTTACCTTCTCCCTACTGCTTAATCAGGTAAGGAAATAAGTGATGATTGTTTGAGGCAGTTGCTTTTGTTTACAGCTGTTCCTTTCGATCGTTTCTCCCAGTCCCATTCTTTCCATCTTATGTTTCCAGCTTATTATCTCCCATCTTTGCCGTTAAAGATATTGATCTTCATAGCCAAATACAACTGGAGTCTATGAAATCTTCTCTGAGACTGCTCGACGGTCGCGACTTACACCGATTACAAATGTAACGACGGAGGTTGTAAGCAGTCCATACGAATACGATACCGATTTTGCTCACCTTCGGTCGCAGCTGACAATCTCTCTACTACGAGAATGTAACCAGGGTGCCAGTGCGATGAAACATCCCCCAATCTCTAATCCACCACTGTGAGCTGTTTGCCAACCTCGCCCATATCTGAGCTGCCCCATTCGTGAGACTGAGACGTCAGTATGTTCCGGAAGTTGACGTCTTGATTTCCTTTGAAGGATCCAAAGGAAGTGTTCAAAAATCGATGTGCCTTCTTGCGGTGAACGAGACCAAGTCGACCTTCTTTCCAACTGAGCGAGAGACTCTCCGTAACTCGTGGGAGTGAAAAGTCTTCTGACGTCGAGCCTGGTTGCATGTAGCCAGCAGCTCCATGTGTGGAAGTCCACCTCTGGAGATGGGCGAGGAGATGATACTGATACAGAAGAAAGTGCACGACGCATGGGTATGTCACCTCGAACCAATGTAGACCCCAACAGAGAGCCATGCCGAAGGCGGTCAAGAGCATAGCGTCTGGGGATGTGTAAACAATCCGTAAATGAATCGCGTCAGTGATCTGCGAGTGGAGATTGATCACTAATCCCGCAGGCCTGTTGGGTTCTGCCAGCATTTCGATGATGTGGAATCTCCAGGAGTCAAACCTGAACAATTTGCGGGTGGAATGCAAGGCAATTAGTTGATGAACGAAATTGAATGGCGACGGCGTCGATTGATGAACAATGACGGACGCCTTCACGGCGTAGAATAACGACAGTGAACAAAATATTGACCTATGAGCTAGCCTTGGCGGTCACATCAGTCCAACACCCACATTCCTCAACAGTTCGTTATTGCTCTGTGGGCAATCATGTGCACCAAGTCAACTTCTCTCCGCTTTTGGAAAATAGGCCAAACATGGTAAGGCTCATGCTCATAACCCGGGTCCTGAATCTTCTGTGACGCAATGAGAACACTACTGCAGTTTCCTCCTGACAAACCCGAGGCCACGCCCAGAGGTAGAACTGTCGCTACACCTCCACTCCCAAATCCAGGTCCATTACGGCATGAAATGATTTACATGTCTCCCTCTTCGAATTAGATTTGACCCATCACCTAAAGACTTGCTCCGTCGGGTCCAATGTTCGATGCTATGGATCGTGGTAACGAACTGCGTGGAGGTCAACTCACTCCGACTTGAGAAACCAAGCGGTTACAATCAAGTCTTCTCAATGGAATCCCTAAAGCTGGGAACCACCATATAGGTCACTTTTCATGCTGTTAACTGACTGAGTTTTGAGTTTACTAATCCATTCGTTTTCTTCACATTTCTGACAAGGACATTCAAGCGGGCTTCTGTGCTTGATCTGGAGGTAATGATTTAGTCTGGCATCCAATAAGCACGTGAAACAACTTTGCCTCGACAGCAAATTTCCTGCTCCTCATTGTGTGGGAAGACAGTTAAGAAAGCTACTAACGAGACTGATCATAAATCACCGTTGCCACTGTAGAGAACTAGTCAGTGGGATGTTGTGTGTTTCATTGCAGATACGGTGCTGATTGAGGTCTTGGTTGGTGAAACCTGGAGGTGCTCATCCGTGTGAGTTTCGTGGAGTGAACTTTCTAATCTTGAAGTAATACAGAGGAGAAGGGGAACAGTTCCAAGATATTTTATTGGTTTCATAACGGGCTGCTTTCGGGTTGACTTTCTGTAATAACCATGGCGACTATTCTTGCACCATCTACAGACAGTCAACACCATCTACAGGTAAACAGTGCCGCTTGAATAGTAACGACAGCGCGAACACTGGCGTGGACTTTCGGGGTTCATATGATGCTCCCTCGATCAGATATCATTGCATGGGCTGAGATGAGAGAAAGCTGATAAAAAATCCAGGGCAGGTGGTGAAATTCATTACTATGCAGGATGACCAACTGCAATGCTCGGATTGCTCACGACGCATAAGCTTAGTAAACTTTACCGTTCATATAGCTTGGGGGAGATGCTGCGACCATCAGCAACCAACCTGACATGTTGGAGTTATCCTCGTCTTCATCGATTTATCAATTTTCTCCATCTCATAAGTTTCATTAGCTTTGCTGTCGAAAGCGCTGTACTTAGAATATCACAACGACCTGCCCAGTTCAAGGACCAAGTTTGCATTAGATGCTGCTAAGTTCGCCCCACAGACAAGGAAAGTGGTACACGGGAACTTTCACAAATTTCAGCCACTGACATGCGTTACTCTCTAAAGGACGGAAGAAGGATGGTCCCTTAGCCGTCAAGCCGAATACAAAATCTTGATCAAGAGTAAGAGCGCGAATCACCAATTTTCCTCCACACAGAACCTTCCTCGAATCTGACCTCCAAAACTCAGACCTCCTCTTCGAGCTTTCCACCCGCCATCCTATTTAGAAAGCTTTACCGTAACAACCTTTCCAAGCTCCTAAGATCGTGACAGCCCACAATCCACCCAGCGTACTCACCAACTCCCCAGGTACAAAATGGCACTCTAAATACTAGGTCGTGTTCACCACTAACAAAGCCTCACGGAAGCTTTCAGTCCTCTCGAAGGCCAAAATTCTGAAATGTGAGGAATCCTCCCACACAGCTCAATGCTGTCATTTTATTTACAATCAATGATGTACATGCTGCGAGCTGATATGCATTCATAACTCGCAGACCAATGCAAAGAATAGTGGGCACTCTGAATCTAGCTACCACATGCCCAGCTGTTATAGACCGGCAGCCGTAGTGGCTTACAATGACCACGCAACAGCATTATGCTGAATGACTTGTGGTTGATTTCTGCCAATAACTTATACTACGCGGGGTCTTCTCGACTTGAGTAATCCCTGCAATAAATCATAGAATACATGATATAGCTACTTTCTCAACAGCGATGAACTATAACTATCCCACATAGTGTGGAGCTTTGATGGTGGAAGTGTCCTAGTCCGCAATGTCTGCGTGTGCGAACTCAAGTGCCTGCAAGGCAGATGAAAGGCAAATGACTCCCAATCTTCTTCTTGTGAAAACTTTCAATGTATGGAAGCTGAAAGAAACGAAGACTTCACGCTTCTCAGGCAGTGGGCTCATTAGTTGACAGAGACATTCTCTTTCCCATAAAAAACAGTAGATCGTGCTTTCCTCGGAAAGCTGCTTTGTTGAAATTCACATACCGATATCTCTCGCAGGTCATCGTCACTGTCAAATACAACTGCTTTCTGCTTGGCATCCTCCCATGGCTTTGTAGCAAGCTTTCTACACAGACGGTTCTGTCCCGTCACGTTCCTGTTCACCGATTTGCTATTGTGAGAGATGTCCGTCAAAACCTTCAGCGAAACTTCTTTTCTACATTTACTACTCGTGGGTCCCCGAACTGCTGCTAGCTCCCTAGGTGGATCACTATCTATCACGGAAATATCATGTACCTCCTGGAAGGAAGCCTTTGAGCTGCCTACATTTGCTTCCTTGTCCAAGACGTAATGGTCTTCAGTACTGAGAGACGCAGCGAACCTTGAGGACGTGCTGTCACAATGATCATCCCCTGCACCCGGGACCCTGATGCCGAGGCGCCCTGTGGTTTGCGGCTTTGGCCGTCTTTGTACAGGTTTGAACTCTTCTAATGTAATTTCTTCAACATCACTGTCGCTATCTCGTGAGTCTCTTGGAGGTTCTGAGAAAATTCTGAACTTCTTGTCGAAACTAGTCGACACTGCCTCAACTCCCACGCCAGTGCTCAATCTCGACCTATCCGATGAGTCGCTTGAGTAGTCTAAAAATTCAGAGTTCCTCGCCTTCGTCAGAAGGCAATCTGCTCTTCTATGAATACGTGACGACTCTTCTCCAGCTGCCAAGTGAGAACCACTTCTTCTCTCCTCTCTCACCTCTAGGACGTACTTCTCTAGTATCCTAGAATCAAGGGCGTCGTCCTCAGTCGTCAAACAACCAATATCGTCTGTTAAACCGTCTACAGGTTCACGCAATTTGCTCGTTTCCAACCCAGTCTTTCTAGAAGCCCTTCGTTCCAGTCTGTCCAAACCAGAGTGTCCCTGAAGGTCATCTAGGTCCACATAGTAGGACCTATGAGTTTCATCCAAAAAAGTTTCAAAATCACTCAGCGGTCCCTGACTACTGACGGCACAGTCTGTGTCATCAAAAGTTGGACACAGTCTGGAAGCGCAGAGCCTATCATCGAATTTCCTCCAATCAAAAAGTTCGGTTTCGCTCACAGGTGAATACACTCTGTGACTCTCCTTCTGCAGAGGTTCCGACTCTTCTACACTCGTTTCTAGGCTTCCTTTCGTAATCCTAATTTTCTTGCCCTGTATTTCGTCATAGGATGGTGACCTCCTTCTGATTTCAGAAGACGTGCTTTGACCGGGTTTGTCTGTAGGCCCTGAAGTGAAAGCTCGTGTCAGAGGAGAAGTAACTACATTCAGGTCACAGTCGTCTTCCAGCAACTCGTTTTGAGATAACGTATCTGGACAACCACTTATTTCGTCACCTTCATCATCGGAGTCTTTACCAGGAAGCGCATGCATGGGAGCAACAAACAACCGCATCTGAGGAGGGAGCGCCGGGGCCCCCTGCCGGTGCTGCAGATAGGTCGACGTTATAAACTGTATGGTGAGATTCAAGCTGCAAGTTCCAAAAAAACTTTTCAGTATACCAACAATAGATGAATTGCCTCTAAAAGCACCAATCCTTGATAACTAAGAATTCTTCTGCAATTGGTAAGTCTAAGTCCAGAGAGAGATAGAATCACAGCTACAACCAGTCTCGACTGAATCTTCGCCTCTCCGGACAAAAACCCGAGAGAAGCAATGATGACAATCAATGACAAGCAATGGCTTCTTCGACTCACCGGACCTGGAGGGCCAGAGATGATTGAAGCTTTCTTACAGAGCAAGGATGCAGGAACATATAATCACATATTTCACTTCAAGAACAGTCACACTAGTTGGATCGAGAGTGTCGAAAGTTTCTTAAGGGAAACCAGATTTGCACCTCTGCCATTCTGGAAGCGTCACCATCGTGCAAACAAGTCTGACCATCCCAGGCACGCCTTTCAAGGATGGCATTCCTCCAGCAGCTTCTCTAACGGCAAGAGACTTGAGCGGGTGCTGCCAAGCCCACTCGAACTGCACAGTACCAAGCTCAATTACTGTCCGTTCCATATCCAGTCACAAGTAAGTGACAGAAAGCCCGTCTAAAATTTAAGGCAAAAGAGAGTACGTCGGAGAAGATAATGGATCTTCAAATTCGACAGAAGACAAAACCTGCAGCGGTTGAAGGTACATACTTGAAGGGCGGCGACATGAGACGAGAAGCCGTACACACACAGGACCATCTCCCATGGCCTCTTCTCTTTGGTAAGCCGTGCTCCTTGCGCCAATTCTCCATTGTGTTGTCTCAGGCGACGTCGAGGATCCACCGTACACCTGAGATCACCGGCGATGAGTCAAATCATTGGGCACCATGTAAATCCAAGAGAGACGGAAGTTCTTCATAACTGGACTCCGAGAAACAGAGGACTGCATGTCCCGTTCAAGTTTGAGTAGCAATCTATCAGTGAGCTTACAACTGATAGCTTGTCGACGATTCGGACGCAGTAGACGCCCCTGTCTCATAAGGTGAGCGCTACCGGTCAGACCTAGGGTCTGAACGTATCATGCTGTCCACGACAAGTCAGTCAGTTGACTTGCATACGACTCGGTATGGCTGAGGTACTCTGGCCAAACAGACCGACGCAAAAAGGGGTGGAAAGGAACTCAACGAATTTGAACAATTGAGAGAAATATAAGGACAACAAAATCGGAGAGAAACTCCGATTTTGTTATCCTACTATCATTGTTTTTCCTCGTCTGTCCTCTTCCTCATGCAAAAATCCAGCGGTTGAATGACCGACAAACTCGCTATATTCACGAAGTAGAACTTCAAATGAGAATGCGGAGAGACCGCATCAGTTGGTTCAAGAAGCCAGATCGAAAGGTTGGCCACGCTATGACACATGTGCAGAGGAAGGTGAATAATTATAATGGATGGGCGGCAAAACATGTAAATTTAGAAGAGTGCAACTAAGAGTGAACCAGGAATACAGCAAACAGAACAGAGCACACATAAACAAAGACCTAAAATATGGGCAACAATAAACAGAGCCATCGCTCACAAGAAGCGGGTCTAGACCAATAGAGACAGCGAGAGTACCAGAAATGAAAGAAAACATGACAGCGCGCGAAAGGGAGGGATAGAAGATGCAGGAGTGAGATGCAACATGACAACTGCTACAGCGATGAAAAATGTGCGGAAACTTTCGTCACAAGACCGCTACACACCAAACGCTAAGCGGTGGTGCGATGGCCAAAGACGGAAGGAAACAGTCATGAAGGGAAAAAATCACTTCCGTACCCGATGTAAAAGCGGCTGCGATATCGGGGATTAAGAGATCGCAGAAGGTAGCACGCGTGCGTCATCGCAAAACTCTCGGCTCCCAATTAAATATTCTCTTGATACCCTCGTGCATTCTCTTTCAAGAAACTTAATTCGAATTGTCCTCCCAAATTCTCCAGGCAGACAACATAGCAATCCCCTCAACCCTCTCCGCAACAGCTCCCTTCTCCCGCAACTCTCTCTCTCTCTCTCTCTCTCTCTCTCTCTCTCTCTCTCTCTCTCTCTCTCTCTCTCTCTCTCTCTCTCTCTCTCTCTCTCTCTCTCTCTCTCTCTCTCTCTCTCTCTCTCTCTCTCAGTGCTGCCCTCGGTTACGCATCTTGCGGGATCAGGCCCCACCTAACCTCACATCAACGCATTTTCTCCTCCCCTTCCTACTGCCCCTGCACCTCTCCTCTCTCTCCTCCCTCCCGCAAATGCTCCCTCTATTCACCCTACTCACACACAGTCACACACATTCCCCACTGCTGTCTGTACGTGCCTCCTCTCCACTGCTGGAATCCTCCGTTTCTCTCTCGGTCACTCTTTTTCTCCCAATCGAAAATCTTCATCACTTTTCTCAGCCTCTCTATGCCTCGCCATCGCTTCTCTTCTCTTTCCTATCCGAGTTATCTACCTCACGCATCGCTCCACAGTCTGCTGCCGTCCTCCGCTTCACCCGTACTCCTCACTCACTTACTTACTTACTCCCCTGAATCTGCATCTGGCTGAGCCTGGTCCCCACCATCTCGGGGATCGATCGGTCAGGCAGGCAGGCAGGCAGGCGGGTGAATCATTTCATTTCAGTCCCACGACAATTCCATGAAACAGATCCCGGACAAACAAATGGTCGATCCACCCAAAACTCCCTATGTGTGATCTCTTTCTATCTATCTATCCATCTATCCATCGGTTCACGGCAGTGAGCAATACCAACAAAAGAACGAGCCAAATACACACGGACACGAAATACAGACATTACAATTGCTCGTCTCCGGAACGGGCCCACTCGGCTCGGCACCGTTTGCCTCGGCCCGAACTCCCGTCGGTAGGCTGCTTCCCATTCTGCTCACGGGGAGGAGACCGAGCTCTGGCCGGCTGGCTGCAACTCGACCGTTACCCCAGGTTCGGGAGGTAGGCTCGGAACTGGGAGCAGGCATGTACAGTAACCCCGGGTCACAGTCGGGGTTACATGCCTCGTTCCTGCCTGCCTGTCTGCCCGGTGGGAGCGTAAACTCCAACCGAGTTCTCACTACTGTTGTTAGTTGACGGAGGATCCCACGTCGGCCCACCGCGTTCGTTCCCTGATTTCCCAACACTCGAGGTCTGCGAAGGGTTCAACGCTGGTGCTGCTCCAGTACCCGGTACCCGAATTAGCAAAGCTTTACTTGGTTGTTGCGATGATTGCACTGGGCGTGGAGCAAGAGGTTATCATAAGTGAGTACTTCCGATGTCCTCTCTCCACTGCTATTTCATGTTAATGTCATAGTTTATTTCCATGGAAAAGGTTACAGCATCTTTAGTAAGTCCGGTACTCTAATATTTTAACCACCCTAACGTCAAGACATCGTGCAATAAGTTCAATAATCTTAATCACATGCTCTGAGCGTTACTTATCTCTACATTATTTCCCTGAAACACGATTGCAAGGAAACACTACATAAGCATTTAGTATCAACTAATATTAGTTCTATTATTAGAGAATTCGGATAGTCCGCACAACTGAAGAACTCCGATACAACTTGCACTGTCTAAGAGCATTGAAAAGCACTGCCTTCAAGCTAAGGATGTGCTCACTGAATTTACTAGTAGGACAGATCTCATTCAGCTTGCAAGTAAGTCATTCTCTTAAAGGCATCTTATACTACTGCATGTTCCACCTTTCAATAATTCTATGATGTTTAACTAAGTTTACGTTGGCGATCTAAACAAGGCGTTCAAAAAAAACCCAAGAAGCAAATGAAAAACACCAAATCACCGAGGAGAGTACAAGATACACCAAGCTCATGCATGAGTACTAAAGTGAATTTTTTGTTTTCCAATTTTTTAATCTTTATTTATAACAACTTTATTTTGTATGAAATATCTGATTCAAATATTGTGAACTTTATAATATTACCAGAATCATTTTATGACTTGTAAATGGATGTGACATAGATCAATCGACGAAGTTTCGTTTTCCTTCCACTCTTCCATAGTCATATATGCAGATAATCTTACCTTTCACATAAGTGAAATTTGCTTTTGGTCTAAAGTCAAATGATCAAGCTCAGAGCAGCAGGATGAAGAGATCATGAAGTTCAGGCAATACTCAAAGTTATAACTTGATTTTGCAATCTGTTGAATTGAAGATGTATCTAATTGTATAAATTATTGTTGTCCAATTTACAAAAAATCCTACAGTTATAATGCACTATGTGCATGTTTTCTAGCCAATTAGCTTAACAAACGTTTTTAACACTAAAACTCTATGTTTGTCAATATGTATGCATGAAAAATATAAATGACAAATCCCATAGTATCAAAAATTTGAAATTTGTGTACAATGATACAACTTACATGATTATAATATCTATGCTACAAAATTTCTAAACAGCATTTAATTGATATCAAAACTTATATTCAATCAGAGCTATTGAAGTTTGTATATATGTTTTTTTTTTTAAGATATATAAAATTTATCCCTATTATAAATTAAATTATCATATTCGCATATATTTTTTAAGATTTTAGATTTATCATTATACTTAAATTTATATTTTTTGGATGATGAAAATTGATAAATATCCCTCACAAACTTCGAAGTTTGAATTCTTCTACTTCAAATACATCATATGAAACTTGATATTAATGATCTTGATTAGAGTTTACGGTTCATATATACATTGCGGATGCATATGATTCACAATGTTTGTAATATGCAATAAAAATATTAAAACACAAACATGATGTCAACAAACTTTTATGATCTCTTAAAATAAGAATTTATAACAATTTTAAACGCAAAACTTTATAAAAAATTTGTTGGTTACAGATTATGAACAAAATATTGAAAAATGATATGAAAGCGTGTTGATAAAAAAATTTTAGAGAATGACATTTTAAAAGTGAAAAAAATTACTAAGCCTGGTGAAGATAATTTATCTTTTTTTTTAATTCTTAACAAATGCATTGATGCAGAATAAAATATACTAATTTTAATAAAGGAGACTCAAATCCAGATGAATATTGAAAATTATGTTAATGTTTATTATCATAGAAGTGTATTATCAAATTACAGATTTGAAGTAATTTGAATTAATATGTTGCTAAAAAATTAAACAATATTGCAAAAAACACACAGTAAGTTTGCTTAAAATAGAAATTGGTTCCTATTTTTAGTTTTAAATAAGTGATTGAAATTATGAAAATTTCATGGTTCCAGTAAGATCAAATATTTGGATATGGGGCAAGAACAAGGATTTACGATTAATATCCTCAAAAACTTCATGCGGTGCCCTTACACAATAAGGGTGAAAATATAGTACGGCTTCGTCTATAAATGTTAGAAATGTTAGAAACGGTCCTTGACATTTCTAACATGAATCATGATTCCTTGACATCTCACATGAGATGAATTTGAAAGGGGGTACTAAGAGTCATTAATATTTGCTTTAGTTGATTATATATGAAGGATTTGCACTCATCTATTCACACCTACAATTTTTGCATGACTTGTGATTATACAACTATGCAGTCTAATCATGTGAAAAATGTGTTATTGCATTTGATATATTTTGTTTTCGCAAATATAGATAATTTTGTTGAGCTAGTGTATTAATTTGCTGAAAAATTATGAATATGTGAGGATTTGTGCTTCCAAATCTTGCTTTCAGTTTCTTGTGTTATGCATCTACTCTATTTTAGACAAAACATCATCATGGAAGGAAAGCTTTACAAGCACATGACAATCCAACAAAAAATAACCAATAAAAATAGTTTTAAATTAATTGAAAAATTAGAAAAAAATTCTATTATCATCATCATGAAGTGCACAAGAAACATAACAAGCTTGACTTCGAAACCTATTGAATTGAATGTGGATAAAATGCTATTCATTTCATGTATATCATAAAGTATGAAATAGCGTTCAATATAGTTTTCATGTTTGTTCTAATGAAAAATGTGATAGATGATTAATGTAAAGAGTCTGAATGAATCTAGCAATGAAGCACAAGGATCTCAAGTTATCCAATCATTACTTTTGAAAGCTAACAAAATAATGCTTTATTTTGTAGAATGTATCATAGTTTTCTCTGGATAACCTCATGATGATTATTGAATTTTGTAGGTAACAGAAAGTGAATTATATTGAAAAATTCACTATATCATGTATCACATAAAAAATTACATAAATTTGACATCCTGCCTTACATGAAAAAAATGCTTAACTCTAAATAATTTTAAATTTCTTTTCAAATTCTGAAATTCTCCAAGTACAGTTATGGATAGGGAAGATAATACTACCCAAAACTTCAATTTGAGAATTAACATTCAAAAATCTGAAAAATATAAAATCAATAAGAGTTAAATTTATCATTTCCTACTATGTAGGTCCCAGATGTAAAAACAAAACACAATTGTCACTTCGATCTGTATTTTAACAAGATCTAACATTATAGTAAAAAACGATCCTAGACTCAAAGCCTACTCTCTTCTCCCTTCTCCACCGTCGTCTCGTCCGCCCCCCTACCTTTATTTAATGCTATGTCCCTAAATACTTGAACCGAATCAGATCTTCGCCTGAGATTTGATTCTGGTTCCAAAATCATCAGTCGCCAGCATGTATTTTGCTGAAGGGAAAGTTTCCCTTCAGCATACTAACCACAGTTGCGGTTGAAATCAGGGGTTGCACTACACGTGTGTTGCAACTCTGATAGAGAATGTCAGAACAATAGACTCCGGTAACCTCTTCTAGGACCATCAATGGGTATCATGGGATTAGAAGAGAGACCATGCGAAAGAGAGAACTAAAACATCCGGTAGAAATAAAATTTCAAATAGTAAAATACACTCAATCCACATATACGATTTACGTATTTATACTGACACCAATGTGGACAATATGCTTCACTCGAGAGAACATCAATGTGCACAGCAACGCAAATGGAATAAACAAAGGGCTACATAGAAGGATATCTTCCAGAAAGTACAAATGAACGTCTGAGGAACAATGGTTGAAATAGGTATAGTGTGAAACGTGGAGCTAGAAGAAAGTGTAGTATGAATTGATTCGGTTTAAACTAGGAAGAATATTGACATCTATTATATCCTACGCATTTTAGACTCTTATAGAGTTGTTTCTTTATCTTACGAAATGTACCATATCACACAAATTTGTGGGTGAAAATTGATATTATGAGGACCAGACAAATGATTGACCGGGAATTGACACATATAGTAACAAATTTGTAAGGAAAAAAATCAAAGGGCGGTCAAAATCGCAGAGGAGCTGACCAGTTTTGAAGAAGAAGCGAGGCAGTAGAGTTCATTTACCGACCAAAGTCACAAAGTATTCGCACCACGTCAAATCTGCTGATACGTATCCATCTCCAAATGGACATTGGACTGCATGTTCGAGATCTATGACCGTTGGCATATATCCATGCGATATGATGGTGATGATAATGCATGACATTTACAAAGCTCGCATTCATGCATACATTTAAGACATGTGCATGCATGCACTCTGCATGATACCGGTTGTCCTGAAATCAATCCAGTACTTGACTCCAGTTTGGAGCGCCCAACCCTTGCACGCCGTAGTACTAACCGGTCTTCCTTTCATTTCCGAACGTGTGTGTGTTTGTGACTCAGCTGCCACATTCTAGCCGCAATCAGATATTTGATAATAGTCAAAACAGTCCAAAAGTATGGAGACCGGCTCGCAAGAAGGTCATCCTCAATTTTGATTATTATAATAACAAC